GCCTCTAACGGGTCCCACATGTCTACTAGGGGGAGGTTGTCAATTCGGACTAGATCGCTACCAGAAGCTGATCCTGCACCTGCAATATTCCTAGGAAAAACCTTAGGTTTTCCATCGCCCTTCCCCTTAGCCTTCGCCTTAGAGAGGGCCTTGGGCGGTGCAGGTTGACTTGGCTCTGAAGGTGAGATCCCTCTACCTTTACCTCGCTTAAGCCACCTAGGTTTCGGTTCTATCCCTGCTCCCTTGCCCTGCCCGGTGGTCCTCGCCGGCGCCGCGGTCGAAGCTGAGTTGCCACTGTCGGGCAGGTCCTGTCGAGAGGCGGAGGCACTGGCCCGGGAGGGTCCAGTGAAGCGGTTAGGCCTCGTGACGTAAGGATCACGGGGCTCCTCTTCAGCTTGCACATAGGCTTGTGCTGCGTCTGCCTCCCATACAACCGACCTATCTACGAAACCACCCTTAGGGTTTTCCTTAGGGGTCGGCTCGACTAGATTAGGGGTCTTAGGGATATTTTGGTTTTGGCTCGACGACGAGGATGCCTGGGCATTCCTCGGAGAGGATGCTTGAGCATTCCCCTGTGGGGGCGAGGAGGCTTCCGCCTTCCACTTGGCGCGGATGTACTCAGGTCCTGCCTTAGCGCAGGCCTCTCTGTACTCCTCCTCGCGCCTCTGTGCGTCGAGTTCTCTTCTCCTGGCGAAACCTTCTGCCAGGATCTGCTCCCGTCTGCGTCTCCAGGCATCATGCCGTGGGAGATTCTGGAGGTCCAGGTCTCGCTCTGTAGGATCCTCCCACCAAGGGACCGGTTCGGTTCCCTGTCGCTGGCGTGCTTGAAAGTCCAGCTGCATGATCTCCCTTCCGGGAACGTGTCGCACTTGCAGACGGTTCTGAGCCGCCGACGCTGAGGCAGGAGGCGTCACACTGTCGGATTCGGCATCATTCTGAGTCTGCTGGCGCGCCTGCTCAAAGGCTGCGTCAAGATCCTCTTGAGCTTGCCTGGCGATATAATCGTCCAGCTCAGCAACATTGTAGGATCCTGGCGATCCGTCGTCTGACGAACCACCCGGGAACGGGTCGTACAGATCGTCATCGGCCCTGAAGCTTTCTATTAGAATAGCTTCTCGATAATCGCGATCGAGATCCGGGTCCTGGCTGTGCACAACGGAATCGGTCCCCAGGGGATCCGAGATGTTGTACAGCTCCGGAGTATTCGAGGCTGGCTCAGGCTCTGGAGCTGGATCTGGCTCTGAAGCAGGAACGGCTGGAACAGGCTGCTTAGCCTTCCCCTTTCCTTTGTTGCGCCCGGGGCCGCGCCCTCGGGCCACCATTGCTGTCGGGGCGAACTCCCAGGAGGGACTTATGGGACTAGACCCGACTATCATGGTGATTGCTTCCTTAAGCCACAAGTGAAGCCCTGTTGGGTGAATCCGTTCCTCCAACGCAATGGCCTGGTTGATGCGATCTTGGTACAAACCCATGATCTGCAGCACTGCCTCAGGGTCGAGGTCAGCGGTCGCGTCGTCAGCGGTAACCGCTTGAACCAGGGGAAGCGCGAGGTCCGTCGCTTCCAAGATGCGTTCCGAGACGGCTTTCCGTTCTCGGTGAAACTCCTGCGGCACTTCATCAACGATAGTGCCACACATTCTACAGAAGGTTCGGGACGTGATCCTCGAACTACCCCGATGGTCTGTTGCTTCGTGTGAGCATACAGAGGGGTCTACAGTATATACATGTTCCCGTTTTTCTTGGGATACATGGCCGCAGTCCCTGCAGGTCTTGCGGACGTAATTCGCGGAACTCCCTTGGTAGGAGAATTCCGTGCACGAGCCACACTTCTCCGCCAAGGGCGGATTCGGTGGAGTCTTTTTCTTCGCGCCATTTCCCCTCGGGCGAGGGTTATAGGTTCCCTCAGGGATACCTATCGAGGCACGAGTTTCGCGATAGTATTGACCTCCTACACCCTGCTGAATGACATAATATCTATTAAACCAGGTGAGGAAATCCTTAAGGTGCGCGGCAGGGCTCGGCTGGACGAGGGCCCAGCGCACGAACTCAGTCTTACGGGATACCTCCTCGTAAGTCTGGCCCTTGTGTTGACCGAGATTAAATCTTCGGTCGGCACCCTCCATCTGCATTGAGCTAGATGGTTGTGAGGGGGCAGCCTTGGATCTGGGTTCGCCTAGATCCCGCACCATATAGCCACTAGGGTCCATATCGTTCCCTGAGGGAACGTACAGGCCCCCGTCGGGGTCCTGTCGCGGCTCCACAATTGCTATGTGGGCCCGGGGTTTCCCTTTCCCTCCTTTAGAGGTAGGGAATTTGCACTCGGGGTCACCTGCCCAGTGACCAATAGCTCCACACCTGAGGCATTTCGACCGTGCCTTCAGGTTTTTCATTTTCTCGCGACGTTCGTCGAGCGTAAGGTGTGATCGCACTACCTTACCTTTCCCTTTTCCTTTGCGGCCCTTGCCCTTACGCCCCTTCGCTTTTCCGAATGCGGCGTTCGCGGCAAGCTGCAATTGGATTACATGGCCGCTGTCTGCATCCTCGGGATCAAGTTCCTCGAGGCAGTTAAGGGCAGTTGCCTCTTCTTCCTCAAGCTCGAATTCCTCGTAGCCCGGGTCCTCTTCCTCCTCCCCGGCGGGGTAGGAGTGAGGATCGTACTCAGGCTCGTCCCCAAAGGCGGGGTACGAGGTGTCGTCGTACTCTTCGGCATCGTCGCCGTCGTCCGGCGGCGCGTCGTCGTAGTACTGCGTCTCGTCTTCAGCGACGTAGGCGCGACGGTTAAAACCCTTAGACCTATTCTTACCGTAGCCCTTAGGGTTCCCGCGGCGGGCACCAGGATGGTGATGCGGTCGGCGGTCCTGAAAGGTACCGCCACCTAAGGAACGACCTTCCTTTAGGTGAACGCCGCTGTAGTGCTCCACTAGGGTAGCAGCAACTGCTTCAAAGCTCCGGTTGCTAGTGGTGCATGCCTTAATGACAAGGCACTCTTGCCGAGTCAAACCGGAAAGCTCCAATAGCAATTCTACGCGCATCGGCTCGGAAAGCTCGATGCTGGCGTCGAGAGTTTTGAGCAGTTTCCACCAGCGTCGTCGTCGGCTGACGTACGACAGCATCGACTCGCCACCTTGGCGTGCGAGGACACCTTGCTTTTGGCCCGCACGGAAGAGCTCTCGAGCTTCTTCGGTCGCACGGGGGAAGACGACATTCCTCAACTTGGTGATGAAATCCCGGAGGCCACCAGGGGCGGTCAGGGATTCGATACCGATATCCCGGGCGAGTTCGAAGGCTTCGTCCCGAAGTCCTTCCAGCACTTTATGCACCATTTCGGTTCGTGCTTTAACCGCATAGGATGACATTTCGTCGGCAACCGGCAGTTCTGTGACCGAGTCAGGTGACTTCGGTGCAGATGGTCTCCTGCGAGATCCACCATCAGAGGCTGCTGCAGCTGCCTCGGCTGCATCTATGTCGGGCCTGTCCTCGGGAGGTACAGGGGCAGTGGCTCCCGCAGTCGGACTCTGCTCCACGACGCGGCTCTCATCGTCACTGCCTTCTTCTTCTGGCTCCACGGTCTTCTTAGGTTTGCTCCTGATGGCATCTTCGTACAGTTTAAGCCTCATAGAGGTCCTAAACTCCCAGTCGTGGAACGTACTGGGGGTGCCATCATATATGTAGCTCCCGCTACGAGTCTCAAGGGGAGTACTCGAGTAGGTGGAGCGACTGTACCGAAGACCGGCCACGGACATGCTTGGCGAAAGTTCGAAGGGAAAGAATTGAGAGGGAGGTATGCAATGGTAGGTGTTGAGCACAGGCTACAGGCTACTGCGATCCGCGCAGATACAGGTCCCGGAGGTACCTGGCTCCGCTGCCAGTTTGAGAAAACTGGTGGATCTTTTCGCCGACTGCGAAGCTATCTGAATATGACTCAAGGGCCCTAACGGCAGGGGGAAATATATACAGTTAACACATGCATGTCATGGCCATGGCTTCCTGTACATGTACAACAGAGGGTGCATTCACATCTAACCTTCCAAACCCCCGAAAACTTGCGTTTGACCCACCGAAAGCCCCCAATGCCCGAGAGTCGAACACCAAACCCAATAACAGAGGAGCACCGACGAATCTATGCCGTTTCCCTGCTGATACGCGAGTTTACGGAAAAGCATCGCACTTCCTGCAGCACTGTCACTTCTAACCACATGCCATATGCCTCCCCCACCATCGCTCGTTCACGTCTAACGCGCATCCGCCCCCCTCCTCGCCTGACCCTTGCCAGCCCTTCGGTGGCGCTGCCCTCCCCTGTCCCTGACCTCAGCACATTGCGCAGTGCTGTCGAACCCTCCTGCCTTCTCTTTGCATCATGCTCAGCGCGACTCAACCGTGCCTACCTCTAGAAGTAGCTTCGTACTGCTGACAAGATGAGTTTTTCAGCTCCTCATGACATGACCGAACCCCTCGTTCCGTTTCCAAAATCCCAGCAGCCGGATTCCTCACGTATGTATCTTCCACATGTTCGCGCCCCGACCCGATCCAAAATTATCTGCAAAACAATGTGGGAGCGGCCGCTGATTCGCCGCAGGAATTGTGTTTTGGAAATCCCTGAATTTTATAGAAAGGTCTGCGACTTGCTTGTGGTCGATAAGTTTCAAGGTTGGCCGGGTCGCCTTGTTGTTGCATGTTTATGCAGTTTATGCTCTGTTTGCATAGTTAAGCGAGTGTCAACGTCTAGAAATGGCCTCCGGGCAGTTTTGAGCAGGATCACGTGTCAATAGCAGCAATGATTGTCGGACTCGTTCACCCAAGAAGGTGACCATGGTCAAGGGACTTCTGCGCATGAAAGTACTGCGGGGACGAACTGCTGCGCCATGTGCCAATCACATGCTCTGCTACTTTTTTTGTTCAAAGCAGAACACCCTGTAAACCAGAACCAAGTTGGAAGGTAACGAGAACCTTAGAACCTCTATCTCCAACTTGGCAGCCTGAGAGCCATTCAGCCCAGACGCTGGAAGCGATCTGGCTGGTTGTTGAACTTCGACACCTCCCACGACTTAAATCAAAATCTGCCGAGGGAGGGCCAGTCGGGGAATGATTCGGCCTTTTCAGCTCGTGCCTGGGCATCTGTTTGCCCGTCTATCCGCAGACATCGAAGGCCTTCGAGACAGCAGACAGCCAGGTCACCGGGACGGCGACAACACAAGTGTCTTGAAGGCCACGCGCCATGGGGCTTCAAGCAGCAGATCTGGACCAGGTCGAGCATCTTGACCTAAGGCCCCTTTGGAAATGGATTCAACGGCATCTTGCGCTTGCTGCGTCGATCTGTGCCTTGATCTTAGCTCCCAGCACTCTGTGAAAAAACCAGGGTGCGGTGGCCTGCCATATAACATCATATTGCCACTATTCCAGTATAGAGTTCGATGCCCCAATCATTCCGCACCTTGGGACGCCAGCTCGGGTAACAGTCTGGCCAAGCACTGAAGCTTGGAGCTCTGCAGCAGCACGTCCTGGCATTTGCAGAGTCGTACTGCAATCGCGAACGACAGATTTCAGACAAGGAAAAACATCCGCCTGATGGCTTCGCGACCTCAGCACGAGTCTGGCTGTCTTAAGAGGCCACTGCTTTGCCCCTCTCCTGGTCACTCTGGCAGCTGGGAAGCCGGCAAGGCTTTCAAAAGTGACTCCACGTCTTGGCCGCACTGGGCATCGTCCTGTGCATCCCGTCGATTGCGAATTGCGGCCACTTGGACAAAGGAGCTGCCAGCATACTAAGCAACCTTCAACCAGTCCTGCTGATCTGCCGTCTCCGTCGCCTCAGTTAGCCGTCATCACTCTGCAGTGTCATTCATGCCACTCAGACAGTCAGGGCTGGACGGTGCCATCCTCCTGATGTGCACTGCATTCGGAAATCTGACGAGAATCGCTAAGCTGACTCCTTCTGCTCATCTGAAGTCTCATTGGTGGCTTCTTGCTCCTTCGTAAGCAGCGTGAAGACAGAAACGGTAACAGGCATCTTTGGTCACTCGACAAGTAGTACCAGTTGAACTCCGTACAAGGTGCAGGGCATATCAGGGTAGGGTCCTCTGCCGAAGCTTGCACCTGAACAAACGGCCATTGCAGTGATCTTTCGTGATGTTAAAAGGCTGGCCTCTTGTAGAAGGTTTGCCCAGTCCTTTACCGTTGGCATCGGCCTCAAGCAGTGATGGGCTGCACCGCAATGCCGCAGCAACTTAATTCGGTTGGAACCAAGCAGCAGCAACAGAAGCGGATGGTTGCAAAGGCGCTTCAAGAGGCCGATTGCTCGGAAGACCTGCACATAGTGTCGATTGGTCTGTAAACCAAACTCGACGAGCCCTGTCCTCGATGCCCAGCTTGGACTTCACACACGCTTCCTTGATGACTTCGCTGTCCTCCAGCACCTGAGACAGCTAGCAGTGGCCGTTCCCTTCTGCTGCCCTTTACAAGTTGTACAAGCGGTTCCAAGCGTGCATCCGGCCAGTGGCACCTTCTTGTACGCAGCCTTCTGCTCGTCACTAGGAACCAGCCAGACCTGAATCTCAAAGGCAAGCGGGTTTTGCATCGTCTCCACGGTTGTGGAAGGTCGCTGCGATAGTCTCCCTCTTGCTGGGAAGCTTGGTCACCACCTCCAGCCGCGGCCCGGGGAGACAGCTGCACAACGATACACCACGCAGATTGCTAAGCAACATGAAAGCCAGGACGGCAAAACACACAGAAGAGCGTGCGGCCCCTTCAATGTCTTTCTCTTCACTCTCGGCTTCCTCCGGCCACCAGCAAAACTTGCTCCTTTCTCGCTGAGCGTTGGCCAGCCCCACCTCGAAATCAACATCCTCCGCTACTTCAGAGGCGCCTGCAAAATTCGCCGCGCAAGCACGTGCTCTTCGTCCCGTTGAGGCACACCTGGCCTGTGAGTCCAGCATTGACCTTCGTCCGGCGCAGGAGATGCGGACGAATCAGTGCCTGGAACCATGCACCAGACACTCCACCGTCGATATCTGAAGCATGAGCATCTCAAGAAGGATTCATTCGCTGTTGATGCTTAACTGATCCATGGGTACTCAGTGTATGCGTGGCCACGCTTCTCAGTTGCAGCAAGTGCAAATGCTTGGCAGCACGCCCGAAGTTGCTCAGCCAAGTGTTTCTTCAGTTCGACAGCCCACACCTCAAGAAGGACTTGCAGAGCTTCCTTTCGTAGCACTGCAGGCTTGGCGCTCCAACATGGCAAGGAACCTTTGCACCTCGCACGCTGCCTTTGTCTATGGGCTCACTGAAGTTCTTGACAAACCTCGCAGCACCAAATTTCGGAACGCAGCGCGGCATTGCAACGAAGCTCTCTGTGGGAGCCACGTCGCGTGGTTGCCCAAGAGCCCAGGCTGCGCAAAATCCATCAAGGCCCATAGGTCCTGCGTCAGAAAATCTATCAAAAGTGCTTCGTCGTGTCGCCACACATGCTTTGCTGCGAATAGCGGTTAGAGCTACACGTAGCTACTCTGGAAACCTTGTCGTGAAGATTTCAATTGTTGAGGTGTTCAGGGATCTGGGCCAGGACCCTTGCAAACACACGCGCAGAAAGCCTAGATGCCATGAGCCGCCCTAAAGCGTTGGCCACCGGCCACAGGGCATCTTGTGCGTCTTGTGCATTGCAACTCGGGCAAAATCCCTTTCTCGGCGGCGGTCGTTGCTTCTTCGCCTTTGTTCGTCCGGGCCGTTGCTTCCCAGCCGCAAGATTCTGTAGATTCGTCGGCGCCTGGTCCTGCATGCTCGGAGTAATGGGCTGTGGGTGGTGCTGTCCGCGACCAGCTGAACTGGTTGGGAGCTCCACGTCCAACTGTGTCGTAGAGACGCCTCGATGCTGCCGCTGCTGAACAGCTGGGGTCAGGTTGCGAGGGCCCGTTGGGCCGCCTGCGCCGCAACCGCCCTTTTCGACCTTGAAAACTGAGAAAACGCTTGCCTCAGACTCTCCCTTTCTATAGTGTTTGGGCCCTGGGAGGAGGTGTGCACGTCGGCCCAATCACCCTGGAAACCCAACATGAGCCAACATGTCTGCTGCTTGGGGTGTGGGGCGGGAGCAGTCCTCCGCATATTATATACATATATATATATATATATATATCTCTCTCTCTCTCTCTCTCTTTCTCTCTCTCAACACGCCGACGGACTTGCCATTCGCCATACAGAGGCAAGTGACGCTTGCAGGGCGGCGGTGGGCGGGGGAAGACAGAGTTGAACCAGCGTGGTGCGCGCGTCATCAATGTAGACGCGCGCTGTCTCTGAATCTTTCCAACGGCCCTGAATCATCGTCCGGCCCAAGCTTTGGGTACGCTGGTAATACTCAATGGCGCCACCGCGCCGGAGGCTGTAAGGCAAAAGTCGTGCGGAGGCAGGCCAATGCAACGACCTCCGGCGTGCCCGGTCCAGCAAAAAGGAAAGAACTGTAACGAGGCCGGGCTCTTTCAGAGAGAGTGATTGTTGTAGGCCTTTGGAAGTCTTTGAAAATTCACAATGGCAATGATAACCGTGCCCTCCGCCTGGAAAAGACGTAAGGTTGGTCACTTGCAAAGAAAGGAGCTCCATAGTGCGCAAGTAAAACGCGAAGCCCAACAAAATCATAATCGAGAGGTCAGGGCGACCCACTCGAAAGGCTGCTCCGGCCATGGCTCTAGCCCCCAACCACGTCATTGGGTTGGTCCTTTGGGGCATGTGAACCCGTTGCCAGTTTCTCAAGTAGAGTTGCCAGGTAAGAAGATGGGGCCGGCATCTAGGGCAAAAGCGCTTTAGACCGCTGAGAGTCCAGCCCGCAAGGCTCACCGAATCACCCTCTTGGTAGAGGTAGTTGATATATTCGGCGAGCTCCTCATCAATCTCCACCATTGAGTGAGGCAGCCTGCCCCGTAGGGCGCGAAAGCATTCAAAGAAAGCCGCTACCGCATTTTCATAGGAACGTCTGGTCTCTGGTCCTGCGAGTGATCCCCAAAAACCGTAGGTGGTCATTTCGGTTCGTATTTTCTCGACGCACCATCGAAGTAATTCCACTTGCTGATGGTCCACAAGGTGATGGGGATCAGACCAGAGGCCTGCGACAAGCTGGCAATGCGGCGGCTCACGCGGTTGAGGCGTTTGGACGATGATCACCCAGAACAAGGGAGTCGACGATGCAGAAGAAGCGTTTCTCGAGCTCGTCTGCGCTCCTAGCTCGCCTTCTGAGTTCCGTCAGGAAGGCGGTCATCTCTAGCACATCGATGTTTTTGGGCTTCGGGAGCCCCGTCTCCTTAGTCCAATCCGAAAGGAGCTGGTGCCGGTCACACAGCATTTCGAGGCCTGAGCGATCCGTAGAGGCCTGGCCAGGAGTGACACTGGAGCGAGGTGCATAGAGGTTCTTGGTCATGTCTTTGATTGCCTGAAAGAGGCGCATGGCAGTGAAAGCGCTGCTTTGATCTGTGAAACCATTGGCACCACTAGCAAAGCCTAGGTCCCTGGGGCCATTGGTTCGGGCAGCCGACGCATCATCCCAGCGGTCGGCAATGTCCTCCAGAGTTATGTACCCCTCCCTGGCCAGTGTTGCCTGGACCGAGTAGGGGATCTGCTTCCTTGCAAACAGAGTGGCCACAGACGAGTGGAGCTCTGCAATGTTGTCCGCATAAGCATCAGGGATGGCCTCAGGGGGTTTGGCTAGAGTAACCGCAGCAGCCATCGGGAAGGGCGGGCGGGTAACAAATTTTGAAGGACCCACGGTCCACGATCTTGGGCCAAAATGGCAGAGCCATTTTGGCAGACGTCTCCTGACATAAGTCTTGCAAGTCGGCAAGCCTTGGTAGCAAGTAACTAATGTCAGAAATCCGCATGAAAATGGCACACCAAAAGCACCATGCTCACAAGCCCTCTTTTGCATGGTGGATTGGTGTGGCTGCCGACTCCCGGGATGTTCCTTCGGTCGAAGACCTCAGTCTAGAAAGAGGCCGTTTCGAAATAGAGGAGGGTCCCCTCCTTCAGGGCCTACGGCACCTGGGGATCGGGAACCCTCCTTGTACAGAAAAGAGTCCCAAAATTTTGTGCCGTCCAGAAAGAAGCCGAAGCCGAAGGATGGGCGGCACAAATGAACCCCCAAAACTGAAAGATGTCGGCCATCTACGGCTGGCCTTGGGAGGCCAGAGCCTTGTCAAGGTCCTGATAGGTGACCTTCTCTGCCTCCGAGGCCGTGTCCACTGAGTCGTCAGTCAGGCTACCTGAGGAGGCTGATTCACTGGAATCTCCCGCAGGAGGGGCATCTTCCACTCGAAACTCTGCCGCCAAGGAGAACTGAAGGAAGCACCTAGCACACAGGTTGTAAGAATCCACGTCGCCCTGGTAGTCGATGGCGTTCAGGGCCTCCACCTTGTCCATGCAAGGGCTCCAGCCGCAGCCCACAGCCCGGAGGTCCTGGTTCAGAAGATGGATCCGCTTTCTGTTGCCTCGGGCCGCCTTAGTAGCCACTGGAGTGAGAGGCCCTTGGGGCGGAGGCACTTCGTCCGCCGGTATCTGAGTCATAAGCCAGCTCGATGCCGGGCTGTCTGCATTGTGAGAGTGAGGGGATGAGACCTGCAATGGACGAGGAGGACTCCCCCCCTCAGGGCCGATGGCACCTGCGACTGGGAGCCCAACAGCTGCAGGACTGTCCTGGGGGTGCTGCGGTTCTTCGCGAGAGAGGTCGATGACCGAAGTGCGGGTGCCCGCCGTGTCGATATTGTCCAGGTTTGAGGTGACCTTTTCCCAGATGGCGCAGACCACATTCCTCTTCTCCCGGGTGTAGACATCCGCAGTACTCTCAGCCATCCAGTTCCCAAGGTACTGCCGTTGATCACGAGGGACGTGGGCTTGAAAGGCGCAGTCCGGCATAAACACACGGAAGGAGTGCCATGTGAGGCCCTCCCACAGGGCCTTGTCGATTTCCTGTCTGGACATGGCCGAGCGCAACCAGTTCAGAGCGCGCTGCGAGGTAGCCGGTCTGGCGATGAAACCGTCATAATCCTTACCAACTGTCGGGATGAGGTAGTCCATGGCATCAAACATGGGGGTCGCCGCAAGCTTGCGCCAAGTGGAGAGGAGAGGAGTCCACCAGTCCTTGCCCGAGAAGGAGTACTTGGGGCAGATGAGGGGGACCGGCTTCTTGTGGATCGCCACTGCCGAATGGGTCTTGGTCTGCCATGCTGAAAACTCGATGGTGGAGGAAGTCACCTTGAGGGTATCCGGGCTGGTATGTTGGAGGTCACTAAAGCGGGCACTGGAACCAAGCTGGAACCTTGCAATGCCGCAGATGAAGGCATCCATGAGCTCGATTCTTGTGGCCGAGCTAGAGAGCGGGCGAGCCGCCACCTCTTCCGCCTGAACCACAAAGGATTTAGAAGGGACCTGAGCTTTCCGCATCGGACGGTGCACCGTGCTAACTAAGGACTCCGAGAGGGCTTTCTTCTTCTCGTTGAGCCGAAAGACCTCGTCGACCGCAAGGAGCCCGAACTTTTTACCAAACCACTTGAGAGTGTCCCACACCTGCTGAAGCTTGTGAGGGGACACCTCCTGATCCCGGAGAGTGTTGAGGAGAGAACGAACATCCTGTTCCTTCCAGGGTATGGCCGTGAATCCAAGGCGCCTGAGCTCTTCATAGGAGAGGCATCGCATCCTGAGGGTGCGGAACCTAGCATCTCCTAAGAGATCCATGAACTCCCCCTTGAGCTCAAGAGAGATGAGCGTGGTACCCGAGGGCATTATGGCCGCCATATGCGGGATCCGCCCTGCAGCCGGGAGGAGGTACGAGAGGAGCCTTTCCCCCCACTTTTCACGCAGGCCACGTTCCAGGGCCCGCTGGTTGGTAGACTGGTGTTCGGATACATTGCCCGGCTTCCAATGTCGCCCGGCTCACCGTACAAGGGGTAACCAAGACCCCTTCTCGTAGTTCCCGCCACTCGAGGCGATCTCGTTCTGCCCTTCGTTGGACCACTTCTGAAAACAGGTGAGAAGGAGAGCCCGCAGCGACCTTGGTGCAAAGGTCCCAAAGGCAGGTGAGGAGCAATGCGACATCCTCCTCCGTGGGGCCTGCAGAGAGAGAGAGGGCCCTTTCCAGGATCAACTGGAAGACCCGGGTAGGGCGGTATGAGAGGACCACAGGTCGGGGCGGCCCTTCGGGGACGCCTAGTACACGGTCCAAGTCCTGAGTAGGCCTACAGCGGGCCATAAAATCCACAATTGCTTGCCCCAGGGCCGCGCCACGTCCACTTGTTCCTCCTCAAAGGCTTGGCCCGACCGCCTGACAATCGGATCTAGTAGCACTCCTGCAAGAACCTCGCCATCAGACTGAAGGGGGCCTATGCTTTGCTCGAAGAGAGCAGAGATGAGAGGGTCAGGGGACCTAACCAGGGCCCGCCCAAAAGGGGACGAGCAGCAAAATACAAAAGCAGTCATCCTGAGCCGAGGAGACTACGGGAAAAAGAGAGAGAGAGAGAGAGAGAGAGAGAGAGAGAGAGAGAGAGAGAGAGAGAGAGAGAGAGAGAGAGAGAGAGAGAGAGAGAGAGAGAGAGAGAGAGAGAGAGAGAGAGAGAGAGAGAGAGAGAGAGAGAGAGAGAGAGAGAGAGAGAGAGAGAGAGAGAGAGAGAGAGAGAGAGAGAGAGAGAGAGAGAGAGAGAGGGAGAGCCCAATGCAATCCAAGTGCCCTTGTTTTCGCACGAGGCGATGGTCTGTAGGCCGGCAGGTCGAGCAAGTAGTCCTTCCCCTTTTTGAGGAAAAGGGGGGGGAACCATCAGGGCCAAAGGCACCTGGAAGTCCCTCCCCTTCCCGCAATGGGTATTCCTCTTGCCGAAGAAAAGGCCTGTGACATGGCCCGAGTCCTGAGCACTGTAGGTACTAGCACTAATACCGGTCACCTCAGGGCCAAAGGCACAAAGACCTCCAAAGAAAAGCTACAGCAACCAGAAGGGAGAGGAAACCCCCTTCAGGGCCATAGGCACCTGGCAGGGGTTCCCCCTCCACGTGCCTTCTTCAAAAAGGGGCAGGGCTCAGGCCGGGCGGACCCGGCAGTCTTGTCTCCGACGTTCTTCCTCTTGTAATCGTCCGAGGCCACACTCGAAACGTTGTCTGGAGTGATGGGCGGGAGGGAGCGCTCCTGCTCCGACCCGGGGTCCAGAGGGATCCTTTCAGCGCCAAAGGCAGCTGAGGAGTCCATGTCCCCCAAGCCGAGGCCTTTGATGTGGCTCTCCGAGTAGCCAAGCTTCCGGTAGATGGGGCCGGCGTACTCCGGCTTGAGGCGGGCTGTCCACCACTGCACGGTGTTGCAGCGCCACGCCATCTTGATCTCCACCACCGAGTCCTGCCCCAAAGAGTGGGAGAGCGAGTTGTAGATCTCCGGGAAGTCGCGGAAGGCCTTCAAAGGCAGGGTGATCCTTTCATCACATACGACTCGCAGTCGCATGTGCTGCTTGGAGTCATGGATGTCAGCTACAGGGAGGTCTAGAACCACCTGCGGCGTACGGTTGATGAAGACCTTGGCAGCGAAAAATGATCCGATTTCACGGTAGAGCTGCTTCCACTCCTGGTTCGTCGTAGGCACCGGGAGGTCATGCAGAATCACAAACTCTTTGGCCTCCTTCATCAACTCGCGATGGTCATCTCGTCGCTGCAGGTTCTGTTGCTTGTCCTTGGCCCCTCTTTTGTGGGCCCTGATGGTAATCGGCAGGTGGCTCCACACCGCATAAAGGTGCCTAGCCGAGTAGGTGTGGCCGAAGCAGGAGAAGAGGCTAACCAAGTCCCACGTCTGCACTTCCTTTTGCCAGTGGGTATTCCCTTCCCCCTCAGCATGGAACGGGCCGATGATCTTGTCCAAAGGGGGCCTAGTGCCCATTGCGACCTGTGCCTCAATCTCCTCCATGGTGAGGGCAATCGGCTCAAAGAAGGGCTGTCTAAAGGAGCAGGGACCAGCATGAGCTTTTCCCCTTCGGGGAGAGGCTTTGCCCACATCGGGGCCTCGAGGGGTCCCGGCAGCTGCTTCCATTTGCCCCCGATCATGCGTCGATGATACGTTTGAGGCGCAGGATCTGGAACTCGACCGAGCCCACTGCAACTCCCAGAACTGCCTCCGGGGACTGCTCCTCAGGGCCAAAGGCACCTGTGGACGACAGCCCCTCGCCGGAGTCCCGGGCGACTCGTTCGCCCTCACGCTGCAAAGCAGCCAAGGTGGGGAGCTCCTGCAGCAAGGAGGCAGGGAAAGGATTCCTGCTCTGATTCAGCAGGAATTTTGTGTTCATGTACCTTTCCTTCATGGCCTCAATGTCATCAAACTCCATCTCCTTGAGCGGGCTCTCCGGATTGAACACGTTCATCTCGAGGGCCGCACGCAACTGGGTACCCCAGGTATCGATGGAATCGGCCACAGGCCGGAGGAGTTGGGAGCGCTGTGGGATCCCTCATCCTGCATGCGCTTGTTAGAGGCCTTGGCCTCTTCCAAGGTAGTCTGTGCAGAGAAAAACTCCTCTCCCTGATTCCCAGGGCCCTGGAGGTAGTTTCGCTTCAGAAGGGAGCGAAGCTTCTCTGTGTCGAGCTGGCGAAGGATTGACGCTCCCTTAGCCTCTTCGACACTCTGGGCGCCCGCTTGCATTTCGACGATCACATCCAGCTGGGGGTTGATGTGATCCAGGAACTCTTCCTCCGTGGGCTTCTTGGTGTCTTTATCGACTGGGCCCGAGCTCTTCTTCGTGATGTCCATTGCCGCCGACAGCTGGGGGTGGAAAGCCCTTGTCTCCTGGCTCGGCTGCCAGTCGTCTCTGAGGTGGGGTCTTTCTCCCGCCTCCTTGTTGGCAAACATCACCTCGTCGAAGGGTTGGGTTGCCACCGTGTGAGCCAGGCTAAGCCTCAGGGCCATAGGCACCTGGTCGGCAAAGCTGAGCTCCTTCTGGTCTGTTGGCCTGGGAGGGGGCTGGGCCCACGAGCCAATATCCACGGAGGGTTTTTTGTGTGCCTCATCAGCATCCGTGTGCCAAGTGACACCTCTGGGGCCACAAAACATCCGCCAGGAAGCCGAGCCGAGCTTGATCTCTGCCGAGGGCGGGCCCTTGTCCACTGCAATGACGGACTTCTGGCAGAGCTTGCACTTCCCCTCGACCTTGTTGTCCTGCCGTTGCCAATCCGTAAAGCAGTTGCTGCCAGGGTCCAGCTGACCCATGCTGCTGTGTCCAACCCCTCTGCGAGCACGATTGTAGGGGGCAGCCAGCATCTTCTCCTGGGCCAACTGGCGCTTGTAAATATGATACACCTCCAAGACCCTTTCCACGGCCGGGCGATTCCACTGCTCCGATTTGAGCTTGGAGAACAAGCAGGCGATCTCCTCCTTTGTCAACTGCTGGGCCAAGTCAGCACTCTTCTTGCCGATGCCCGGGAAGTCCTCAGGGAAGCCCTCCATGCGAAAGACCTTCTCCTCCAGGGTGCCGGCGGGTAGGGCAGAGTAAGGTCTGGGCTTGTTGTCGGTGGCCTTGTCCTTGGGATCATCAGAAGAACCTCCCTCAGGGACAAAGTCACCTGTGGTTGGCACCTCCTCGCTTCCCATGGGATCATCAGAAGCACCTCCCTCAGGGACAAAGTCACCTGTGGTTGGCACCTCCTGTCCTGTGACAGCCACCATCTCATCGCCCTTTGCCAAGAGGCGGGACATGGCCGCTTCCATTTCCTGGAGCCGAAGGGCCATGCTGGTGTCATCCACCTCCAGAGTCGTGAAGGAAGCCAGGGCAGTGTTTGCCGTCTCATCCTCATGGGCATGGACATTGTGTGCCAAGGTAGCACGGGCCAAGGCAACATCATCGTCAGGCTTCTCCCATTCCGGATCACTGTCCCCTGTGTCGCGAGAGGGGATCAAACTCTCAACCGTCTCCATGCTGGAGGCAAGGACGTCATCGACATTAGCAACGGGGGTGAGTGCCATGGTCGACAGTCGCAAGGGAGAAAGCGGGAGCGGTAACAAATTTTGAAGGACCCACGGTCCACGATCTTGGGCAAAAAAGGCAGAGCCATTTTGGCAGACGTCTCCTGACATAAGTCTTGCAAGTCGGCAAGCCTTGGTAGCAAGTAACTATTTTTTCTTTTCCGCCTTCTCGGCGTCTCCTTCCCGTTCCTCCCCCGTGGGGGGTCGGGCTCTCTCTATGAATCCTCTTCCTTCCCCTTGGGGAGATTGGAGAGCCTCTTCAACTCCTCCTCGAGGTCCTTCTTGGCTGCCCCTGTCTTTGTCCAGTCGATCTTCTTCTCGGTCAGGTCCACCATCGGGGCCAGGCGGAAGCGGTCGGTGTGGAAGTCCATACCCCGCCCACGGTGGGTCTGCCTGCAGCTCCTTTGGCTTGAAGCGCAAAAATGCACCTCGAGCTGCCATCCTTCGCTTTGTCCCGGGCCATGCGTAAGCCACCACCTCAGGTGATCATCACTAACTGTCACGAACGTGGCCTCGGCCCATTGACGCGTCCGGGTCTTCTCAGAAAGCCGATCCAATAAGCACAGCACCGTCCCCTGTCTGCAGTGGGACGTGTCGTAGCAACAAAACTCCACGTAGTCCCCCTCGTGCAGGGTTGTTCCCTGCCAGCCATCGAAGTCGCTTGCAACTGCGACCCATGGCCCGGGCATCGCGTGCTCGAGCTGGAAGGCTCGAGCCGAAATCTAGAGGGGTGGCAGTCGGCATGAGAAAAGCACGTGCTGCCACTCCGTTGCACTCCGTTCGGCACTTGGGGTAATCTGTATGTCTCTCTTTGTCTTGCTGCAAACTAGGGCCTTATATAGGGGGTCTCTCTCTTTGTCGCTCTCGATTCACTTCTTTCTACTACTATTCCTCTATGTGCTTGAGTTTTCTTGATGCCTGTCATTTTGCTGATCTTCCACGGTTGGTACCCCTGAACCAGAGCATGTCCTTCAAAAAATCTCGATCTGCACGGAAACTCTCAAACCTCAATCATTACAGTACCTGCAGGCAGATTTACCAGTCCTGAAGAGCATTTTGGACCGGCGTGCCCGTGAGCAAGATGCGACAAGATGACTTGAGCTTGCGAAGGCTCTTGGCCAGCAGTGAAGACATGTTCTTCATCCTGCCCATAGCCGTCTTAGGCATGCGAAGCGCTTCAAGCAGCAATGGGCGCCTGTGTGCCTCATCACAGACGACCAGATCCCAAGACCTTGGACTTCATGCCGCCAGTGCACGTGCAGTTCTCTGTTAAACTCTCACTACGAGAGCCCTAAGCCGATGCGTGCAGAATCGGTTGCAAGGGGTATCGTAGTTCAAGCCTGTCCGATAAGATTTCTGCAATCCAAGAGGCCTGCGACTGCCAAGCGCCGGGAGCTCTCCGCCCGGAAGCTCGGGCTCCAATGGCTCCTGAAAGACCGAGTCTGCGGAGTCTGCATGACATAAGTCAATAGCATGTGCTTCCTCCTCAGAGTCACAGGCTTCGTCGCAGCCATCGTCGTCGTCCAATTTCCGGCGTTTGGACGGCTTCTCACCCCCAGGCCTCAAGCCGGCCCACGAGACGAGAGCTCGCACATGCTCGCAGAGTCCCTGGCTTTCGTCCACGGCGGTGAGTTGGCTCAGGGACGTCTTCGACCTGAACCTGGGACGCGAGGGCGGCGATGTCTCTTTGAGCTCCGCAGCGATACGATGCATCTCCCTGCGTTCGGTCTTCGGCATTCGGTTCGCGCCTCGAGGAGGTCTTCGCAGTTGCTGAGAAGCGAGTAGGAAGTCAGCAACAAACCTGCGAAGAAACGCGCCGCAGGACTGGCAAAAGGCCGACTGAACGCTTTCAAGGAGTCAGCCTCCCATAGGTCTCCGAAGGCCACGCAAGGCCTTGGCCCGCTGCGCTGCGGTCCCGTAGTAGGTGTACCTCCCCATCTCGGTCAACCCAGTATGTCGGAATACTTCAAATAACCTACGAAGGAATTGGCATTCCGGGTCTTTCAGGGGCGCACACAGGCCAACCTGGACACCACAACCGTGCCTCTCGGCTCCACCTGGGGTTTGTCGTGATTGGCGTCCACTGAGGCACAGTTGAATGAATTGCCAACTGCATCCTGGACACTGATCCAGCAATGTCACGGGCATCAGCAGCAGCGCATGGGTTGCACCCGCTTTGCGCGCACCGTTCAACAAAGCACACACCTGCGGCATGCAAGCTCAAGATTGATAGAAGCACTTAAGCTGAAGCAGACATCTCCCGGACACTCTGAAGTTTCAATCACAGTTCCAAACCTGGATGGTTTTGCCGAGACCCATCTCATCTGCGAGAACACCGCCGTGCCCCTTCTGCCAAAGCCTGGATGGCTTCAAGGCCAGTAGACATCCTCGCTCGACCCGAACATGACCATGGCCTGGCCATCCATGCCACTCCCTTCTGCTGGTAAGGGTACAGGCGGTCGAAGATGTCCACGGTCAACGTAAAAGTGGGCCCCTTGACAGTCATTTATGGACTCTGTGCACTTAAGCAGCACGGTTTTGCGCAATCATGGCATCTGAGGGAGTCCTCGGCTTGCAGAGCTTCCAGTCTCACGAGGTTCGTGTCGCCAGGGTCGGGGCGCCATGCGACCTCTGCAGCCTCGTTCTCCAGGCGGCGCCCTTCGACATCTTCGTCCTTGAGTTCCTCCCCCTTCAGCCAAGTCACACTCAAGCCATGTCCTTCAGTGTGGCATGTGATGCGCACAGACTGAGCCCACAGCTCGCGCCGGTGTTGGCATTGCTTCAAGCCGCAGGGTCTGGGCAATCTAGAATGTGAGCAGGGGAGTCATCCGAGGACTCTGTATCACACTGTTTTCCATGTAGAAAGGCCGCCACCTGCAAGTTCTGCTCGTGAGCAAGGATCTCCTGCTTGGCCTCATGCGCCCCGATGTAATCCTCCCAATGCCAAGCCGAAGCCATGAGGGGACCCATGAGACGCATGCGATACTATGCACCTTTCCAAATCGAGTCCTCTTCTTCTAGCCGCTGCATCTTGAGCCTTTGAAGCTCAGAGATTTTGGCCTGTCAGGTCGACAACGCTTTGCTCTAACCCGACGCTGATTGGCCGCTTGGCCTTGCACTCTGCAACTTGGGCTGCGATAGATCTGCGCCTGCGGGTGGAAACGGACACCGAAGCAATAAGCACGCATGAACGGGCCATGACTGGCCAAGTAGATGCCGCATGTCCCATCTTGCCTGGGAGTGGCAGAGGAATGGCCCGATGCGACGGAGGAGCGACCTGGTTATGCGGCAACACAGGGGATGCTTTCTTGATCCACTGTGTCTCAAATCCGATCATGGAAGAAAGGACGAATGCTTGGAAAGGCGTTCCGACCCGGCCTATTTTTGGAGGCGATGCCTGATGTCCAGCAACTGTGCTCACTCGTGGCATCAAAACATCAAGCCCATGGTCACCACATCCTTGCATAAGTTGGCTACGAAAGTCTCGCTCTCGTCTGCTTTTGCAGTCGCAGTAGCTGCATCCTGAGGACAAAGCGCAAGTCAAGCAAACTTCTCTCGGTGCGCTCGCTGACACGGCCTCGGAAGAGTCAGGCATGGGGGTATCGTCGTCCTTCGTTTCCTCCTGGGCTTAATGTGGTGGACACCACAGTGATGTTGGCTGGATGCTTACGACACGACTGCTCCTTGGGTGCCGCCTCCCCCGCGGCCTCGCCAGCGAGGCTCCGCCGCAAGAGCGTCGTGAGAGTCTGGCCCCTGGCCTCGTCCGCACTGTCCGACATGTCGTCATCGCAGGCATCGCAGGCCGGCTGGTTGCTGGAAGCCTGCAACCCGTGACCCTGCGATCTCTCCACCAGAACTTCGCGGTATCGTCCGTCCTCTTCAAAGCCACTGGTCAGCAGTGCAGTGAACTCTGCCTCAACGCCGCCTCAACCGCTTTGACACTCCAGCATCGTCGAAGTTGCTGTGTACGTCAGGCCATGACACGACTCGGGGCTCCAGCAAAAGTGCCAAAGCTAAAGTGATTATGTTGCGGTCTCGTGGTGTGTGTGTGTGTGTGTGTGTGTGTGTGTGCGCATGGACCCCGAAAACAGCTTACCGGACGGAATGCCTTGGCCCACCAGCTTTGCACTCTCTGCGCCTGCCCGGACTGCCGGAAAGCTGAAAGCTTACAAAGTGGCTGCGCTGCGGCGCTGCACGGAACGGCCCTGTCCCAGCCTGGCTCAGGATCGGACTCCAGGAGCTCAGCTGTGATCACGGCTGGCTGACCTGACGGTGCTGGCATTTCCGAAACTTCCCGGTTCGACTCGGCTTGCCGGCTTTATGTAGTATGCCCGTTTTTTGGACGGATGGGTCTATGAAATTCGATCGAGAACGCTGAGAGATGGTTTGCTGTTACCCAAATCATAACTAAGATTGATGTGTACATTACTATCGTCCTGTGTCTTGTGGCGATCGGGTACCAAACGGAGCACCTCCGGTTGTTGCAGTTGCGCAGGCGCGTGTCTCTGAAGACTGGTTGCAGCAGGCGGACATGCGAACTCCCCTGCCCAATGTCTTGGGCACCTGGTGTGCCTTGTTTTGACAGAATGACAGTTGTTTGACAATCCTGCAACACCGCGCCAGGGCGAAGTCCACTAAGGCACAACACTCAGAGTACCCACGCGAACTAGCGGTATTGTTGATGTGCCAGAGTGAGCAAGCAAGGTCTCGCAAGAACTGACACTGCAGCTTCACTTTGCGTCCTGGCCCAGAAACAGTCAGTTAGCTACTGAGCTGGATGGCTTTGAGGCTGAATAAGTAGCTAATTTGGGCAAAAACAAGCCGTGCAGCTGAAGGGGCATCATGCATGGTTTAACTTGTAAGCAAACCTCCCTGTGGTTTGGAGCTGAACACATCGGAATGCCTTCAGGTGCACTGCTATCATCTGGACGATGTTGTGGAGGATCGCACGTGCTCATTCCTCCCAGTTCTTGCAACGATGCTCCAACATACGCTATGATTTTCGATGCTGCAGCGCAAACTCGATGTGGACCAAGGCTGTAACGGCAATCTGTTTCATCGGCAGGCTTGTCCGAGTGGCCTGCGGGGAAATCCACAAGCCCTGTGGCAGAGCACAAGCATCTCAATGCCCGTGCCTTGATCCACGACCATGGGGTGCGAGTCGCCGTCGAGAAGATCACCACTTGGTTGCTCACCTTCAAATGTGCGAGGTTCATCTATGAAGTGTAATAGGCTTGCCTTCCAGAACCGTCTTGACTCTTGACCGCAATCGGAGCCCCTTGGTGATTCAGGTAGCAGATAGCCGTGTCGGCACTATGTGCATGCTGAAACCATCGCATCCAATTCGCAAGACATTCAAAACAAAAGCCCTCGGCCGAGAACAGACGATGCTCCAACCACGGATGTTTTCAAGCACGGTAGCAGACGGAACGGCGCTAGGCGAACATCGAAAAGCAGCGCGCCCCGAAAGGCATGCAAAGACCCTCCTCTCAACTTGCATGCCCTGTCCGCACAGCACAATGCTGTCTATCGAACGGGAAATTGCGACAGCCGGTCGCTCTTTCACGCCGGGATGTGCGCACCACCCGCTATTTCGAAATAATAGGTTCGATAACGAAGTCTTCGTCTCAGTCGCCGTGCCCGGCCAAACTTCGCAGGAGTTGACATCGGCCAGGATTGAACCTCCATGCCTCACCGTCCGCGTCCGAATCCTTCTGCTGAGCCGTCACGCAAACAATTGATTTGTGCTTCTGGGTATTTCGATGTGTGACCAAGACGTGGCCTTGCGACCTACTGTGGTGATCTGCGCACAAAGAATGTACACGACATCAAGACAAGGTTAGAGACAAGAGCCGCTACCACTGTTGCTTCCCAAAGCTCAGATTGCTGCACAACCACGACATTATCGTTGGAGGCCTGTGGTTTGGAGCTGAACACATCGGAATGCCTTCAGGTGCACTGCTATCATCTGGACGATGTTGTGGAGGATCGCACGTGCTCATTCCTCCCAGTTCTTGCAACGATGCTCCAACATACGCTATGATTTTCGATGCTGCAGCGCAAACTCGATGTGGACCAAGGCTGTAACGGCAATCTGTTTCATCGGCAGGCTTGTCCGAGTGGCCTGCGGGGAAATCCACAAGCCCTGTGGCAGAGCACAAGCATCTCAATGCCCGTGCCTTGATCCACGACCATGGGGTGCGAGTCGCCGTCGAGAAGATCACCACTTGATTGCTCACCTTCAAGTGTACGAGGTTCATCTATGAAGTGAAATATGCGTGCATTCCAGAACCGTCTTGACTCTTGATCGCAACCACGGCCCCTTTGTGCTTCAGGTAGCAGGTAGCCATGTTGTTGGGAATAGCCATAGCACATGTTTTGGCTTGAAGTGTCGGACCAGAAATCATCAGCAAAATGTTGGAGATGTTCGGTACTACAACATGGTGGGGGCTTCTTCCACTGGAATCCACTGGCACCACTTGCACGGGACGCGATTCGTGGTTGGCCCCTGACCTCGCCTAGTAGGCTTATGCTAACCCAAGCGACTGAAGCCGAGTTGCCTGCGAGCCTGGCCTCTCTTTGACCTGACATCACGGGCTCTCTCAAATCCCAGGCCCAAGCCCAATCGGCAGATACCCGGGACGATCACCCGAACCTACCCGAACGCGATGGGCGCCGCACTCGCTGAGGCCGGCGAGGCCGGTGACGCCAAAGTGGACCCGGGCTCGGGCGATGCATGCGAGGCGTCGCTGCGGCGGCTTAGTCCTGGGCGAGAAGAGGGGTCTAAGTATCTACTAGTACGGGTCGTTTGCAAACCAGGCTCCAGGCTGCTGGGGCTAGAGAAAATGCGCCCGAGCTGTTCCAACATCAGGCTCCTGCGTGCGTACATGCACAGCCTTTGGCAAACAGTGTTCGCACTTGCCTCGCCTTGCAATTGAAGGCCGGAAGTCAGACAAGGGATATTGAACAACGACGGCTGCGGATGATCAGGCTGCTGTCTTCATCAGTATCTACAGGACAGAGTGAAGTGTCGTTGCAATATCAGCTATCACCTGTTCCTGCACCTCACCCTAGCATTAGCAACCCAATGCCATGGGGATTCACAGCGGCACGCTGCAAAGCCACGAAAGTGCTCGATCCATAAATCTCAAGACAAGTGCTCGCATGATGCGACAAAGCTTGGTTTTCTTCGCTAAAGTCCAACGCGGAGTGACCGGATCATCACCTCATCGACTGGTATGCAGCAATGACTGAACCTGCAATGCAACGCCAGCTCTGCACCCCGTGGCCTGCTATCGTACATCGGCAAGATGGGGGGAAGATCCATTCTTTGTACAACCTGGAGCACTAGACAAGTGACAACGATCACACGGAGCACTTGGCCAAGACATTCCAATGGCCTCCAAAGGGAGTGCATAAACGCAGTGGATTGGAGCCAAGTCCACCCGCCTGCAGCCCACATTCAAGACAGAAAGCATTGTAGTATGGAGGTCACTCACCTCATCAGGGACAGCCCGGCAAGTCCGAAGAAGGTGTGGAAGACGTCTGGCCTGGGAGATGGGCCCCCCCGGACGATGTGCGAGAGCTGCTCATATTGTACTGCAAACTGAGCTGAGAAGACTGCACGTCACCAGGACGATCCGCAATGCCGCCATCCTCACTGCAGCGGAACATGCTTAATTACATTGACGGGAAGTAGCAAGCCAGGCTGTCTCGTGTCCTCGCCGTCTTGCGCAGCAATGATGAACTCGGCCTGAGACTCCGTCTTGGTTCGGACAAGGGCATCCAATGCCTTGGGGTCCGGCCAGCTTCTCCACATCAATCCAGTGCACACGGTCGATGGTAGCCAGCGCTGACAGGATCCACCAGCTGTAACATACATCCGGAGCCTTCGAAAAACGAACAAAGACGCTCTCACTGTCTTCACCATGCCAGCGAACCAGGCAGGGCCTTCTCTGGCCGACCATTGAAGCCACCGCTGGGAGTTTGTCGCTCGCATAGCCACCAACCAAGTTGGTCGATATCGATCTGGTAGATGGCTTCATAATGCTTCATGTCCACAAGGAACATAACCGGCATGCATCGAGGCTGAGAGTGCAACTGCTCCAAGGGCATCAACAAGGGCCAGCGCCTGCGAGGTTATGCATCTCTACAGAGCATCATGTGCTTCGTGCATTGTCATCGTCCGCGCCTGCACAGCGCAAAACACGTACGCCGCATGAGATTCCGCACGTGGCACCGGCCCAAAGGAACCTTCGTAGTTCATGCAGCGCCTTGGGTCGGAACAAGGCCGAATTCCTCGTCATGGCGTGGCTTGATGCAGTGATTGCAGCGGTGAGCTCGCAAAAGCTTAGCGTACAACAGAATCCATCCGACACAAGCATCCACATCGATGCTATCGAGGGCATCCAGAATCGTCAGCGCGGAAAGTGCGCAGTATGCAAACCTGCACGCGAACTGCATGGGTAATAGTTATCTCAGTACTCATACTGTACCTTCATAGTCCACAGAATCTGTGTGAAAGTCCTTGGTTTTGGGTTTTGGTATGCCGCTCAGAAGCACCGAGTACAGTACCATGGGGATAAAGCGAATTGGGCCTACAGTCCTCGCCTGTGTTGTCGGTTTGGGATCTCGACATCCCAATCAACGGCGTCTCAATCAAGAATCCGAACAACTCTCGGATGGGGTGGCTTGGGCTTCAAATCCTAGTGAATGCGGCTATTTCTGGATCTTCATATCCTTGCGACGTCTTCAAAGTGCCAACCTTCAAGGTGGTTAGTCTAGATGCGATCCTCGTGGTCGCTGTCGATTCTGGACAGTGTTGTCACTTCCATGCGTCGCAAAAGCCAACACATGCCAACACGCACAGAACTGGGTCGTTCAGGACAGCGGTGCTCGTGATTGTTGTGGGTTTATATAGCTTGATATCAGTGCGACGAAACCAAACCCACCCACCTGCATTGATCTTAGCATCGAAAAACTACCGAAATGCTTGAATCTCGCCGGTACTTGGGACCAACGCTGTCCGTGGAAAGTACATGATGTAAGTCGAAAACGTGCATTTCGCCACAGTGGCGGGAATCGACACGCTTTGGCAACACCGTGAGGGTCGCCAATTTCAGAAGTCGTTACATGCGACCCAAATGCCCCCTGATGGCAGCCCTCAACTGGGATTTGAGGAATGATTCGACTCAGGAGCACGAAAGCACACCAATAACCGGGAGAGGTTTGCTATGTCGAGTCCGACATGAAAAAGCAGTTTCGCTTAGCGGGCTTGCCGCAGGACTGGGACACGCCGGCAACACCGAAGGGTGTTGTAAGTCCAGAACACGGATCGTGATGGCACCACACACGCAACGCTTTTTCGACTGGCGTAGCAGAAGCGGGCAAATCCAAACCTTTCCGAAAGTCTTTTCCTCATCGCACGTGCATTAGACCGAACAGCGCACATAGTCTTTGCAGTGCAATTAAATTGTTTTTCATCCCATGACTTTATCCAACAGTCTTCGCTCCGTGCATGCCCCCACCCAGACCGCCCTTATGGAATGCACTCCAGCGCCTCTGGGGCAAAAACAGGAGGAGACACGAAGTCTCCACGGGCAAGTCGCAATTCGCACATTCTCCAGGAGAACCGAAGTGGACAAGACTACACTGATTACGCTCAAGTGTATGTTGGTCAAGGAGTCACACTTGTTCGCACCGGCCACTGAACACTTTCATGCTGACATGCCAGCAATCGCAGCTCCCAAAGTTAGAGGCGAACAGGCAGATAGAAACGTACAGACAGACACGCTCTCACACTTCACTGCCGCTTACAGCAAGCTCGAATTGTGAAAATGCCCCCAGCCTCACGTCGACCTCCGGGGATTTGGCAGACAGGTCAGCAGTGCAACACTCATATCAAGCTAGAACCCTGCACTGCGCCTCACCCCAGTGATCCCCAGCAAACGAGCCGTCATGTTGTTGCAAACCGGCAATGAAAGCAACCATGCCTCGGGCCAATTGCATCAAGTTTTGTTTGCCGGACTGGGCCAGCACTCTTGCTTGGCAGCACCTTCTCTGTCCAACTTGTCTGTGGCGTCGAAGATGCAAAGGACGAGCAAAGCCTTGATGGTACAAGTGGCAACGTCGCCACCGAAGGAGCTACAACTGAGTATGAACTCATCATTGCACGACCTCGCCGCGAATCAGCCCACTGCTCCATCGCAAGAGTATTCTGGCAAGGCAAAGAACATCAATTTCGTTCAATGGCATCTACCGGGATCATAGGAGCAGGCAACGGCACAATGACTGCAATGACGTCACCCATCACAACGCTGTGTGCGGGTAGAAAGAGGAATCTGGAGGACGGGACATACAGTGCAGCTCGAGAAGAACGAGCCAGCAAATGCTGCAGAGGCCGATTGTGTGGACGACCGGAGCAGCAAGCCAGCCAACGCTAAGTCGGCTAAGTTAAGACCGCTCAGCTGGAGCGTGTGGAGATGAATGGGGCATGGTCGAGGCACGAGCAAGCTGGAGTTGAAAGCTCTGAATCCGGCAAACGCATTCCGCCGCTGTGGCACAGAAGCTGCCACGTCAAAGCCGAGAGCAGGCAGTGGTCGGTACGCGCTGGGTAAGTTGAAACCGTTGCAGTTTTCAGACAAGGTGGCGAACGGCACTAGAGGACGTGGGAAGCTCGAAGGGACTTCGGATCGTCAATGAGAGCATAGGTCCGCGAAGTTCAAACTCAGGTCACGGCATAATGGGTTGCCGTGATGTCCGCATCATGTCCCACATTCGGCCCGAAACCTCCGGATGTTTTGGGGTCTCGACACCTGCAAACGCTTTGATTCTGTGAGAGCAAGATACGTCTCAGGTGCTCTACATTGGCCTCAGGATCCATTCCACGATGCCGTCCCGCCTGAAGCACACACAATCTGCGGCCTTTTTGGCCTACTTGTGCCATCGAAGCCTCTCATTGTCCAGTCGTCGCAGGAGCGCCATGGCCTCAGAACGGCCGCGAAGTGGCCCTGCTGCAGCTCGGAGCTTCTGAGGCCCAGGCACTTACACCCCAGTAGACGCCCCCCATACGCAGGTGTTCAGACCTCGCACGGGTTCTGCCGGCTTCGGGTAATCTTCAGTCCTACGCTGCATTACGCTCCTGTAGGAAGGGCGGAACCGGGGTTTGCCAATCCCCGATCCCTCATCTGAAAATCCCATTCCTCTCACTTTCTGAGGAATCAACATCATGTATTCAAGAGACTCCTGGCCAAAAACAACTTGAAAGGAATTGCACGTTTATGCAAGCCTGTCTCAACTGTCACACCTTGTCGTCATCCAGATGCTGCCTGGGCAGCACAACAGTAGGTTCACATCACGAAGTAATTAAAGCACTCCCTGACAACCTACAAACCATGAGGTGGACACAAATAGTAGTTGTGCTTGTCACGCAAGAGATCCTGCCCCGTGTCAGCGGTCCATACGAAATCCACGACGAAGTTCGACATTCGTACCGAGCCTCCGCATTGCTCTGGTTGGCCTGCAAATGCGACGAAGATGCACTTTCAGGTGGTTTTTCGCGTCTCGCAGTTCCCTAAGTCAAGCATGATCGCCTCGACTGTGCCAACGTATCCGCCCGAGCCAGACATTGCTCAGCGATTTGGCAATCATGGGACGAACTTGTGTCGAGGCCCTGCATCAATCATGTGCATTCGTTGATACCTGTCTCGAAGTTTGAGATGAAAGCAACACTACGAAAGCGGTTTGTGCCAAAGTTTAACAAGTTTAATGTTCATGCAGCTAGGCCGTACTTCAGAAGCGGTGGGTTCATGGTTTCGCCACGTTTCGCGAAGTCCGTGAATCTCGGCCCAGCAGGCACGTCGCAATCTCCACAGCCCGTACAGCAAGGACATGAAGAAGACTAAAGCAGTGTTTGCACTCCAATCAGTTGACACCTCAAAGGCGTTTCTAAGGCGAATTCAGATGGCCGAAACACCATCAGGATTGACACTACAAAAGATTTTGAAGCCCCACATCACAAAGGTGCAGTGATGCCGAGAGCTCCCCCTGGATGCTTCTTACATGAGCAGCATTAAATGATACTCTTGAGCCCTTGATTCACAGCTGCTGCTCAAAGGCATACAGGGGGAGCAGCAGGGTGCAGAGATAATTGGCTGCTTGTGAGGGACTGAGGGTCTGCGAGATTCCACGCACAAATAGTGCCGTACATCCGGCCCCTGTCTAGATCTCACCGAACACACACAACACACACACACACACACAGACGCACACTCTCCTCACCGCTTGCGCGTGATGACGTTAAAATTGTCAACTGAAGCATCGAGTGAAGCATTGCTCAGAGATGCTGCTAAGCCCTAGGCAGACTGAACAGTGGAAAAATCCACCCAGGTTTCAGCCTTCAAGGTGGATCGGGGTCTAAGGCCACGAAGCATTGATTTGCAGAGAATGCCTTGCATCCCCCCTTTCTACACTGCATGTAGGTGCAGAAAGTCTCAACCTCGTTGTGCAGATTGCTGCATGCTCGACTGTGGACCCTTACAAGAGCCCGGTCCGCAGAGAGCTATGCAGCAAAAAACTAGCCTTGATTTCGTTTCACTGCATAGAGTACGCTGCTATGCCCTGTTCAAGTTTCGTATGACAACCAGGATTTCCAGAAATAGGGACAGGTAAAGAGATTGCTCGGCAATCCTTGAAGCAGCCACGATTTGTGGATTGCTACGGAAAAGCAAGTGCAAGTTCTTGACATCTACAAATGGCCGAGGCCGTAGATGCGATCCATCGCAAGTAGCTATCTGCCGATGACGGGACTCAGCAAAACTCTATGCCACTTCACTGCGCCAAGAACGGCTATGGCGACTATGGCGGATCGGCGGGTCGAGCCTCACTTATCTTGACCAGCCAACTTCAAAAGGATGGCAGAGAAACGCTTCGCTTGACGACTTCGCAAGGAGCCTGACAGATCAGAGACGTGCTTCCGGCTCTGCATCTGGCATCTCCGCACCTGCAACGTGAAGAGTGAAGAGATGTGAAGAGGCTGAGACGGACTTGGGTAGTGGGTTGCCATCCAAGTTGCCTGGTGGCACATACACCACCCGAAGCACAGCGCCGGTCCTGAGCCCAAGCGACCAAGCGCCCCCTTGCCGTGTTGCCATCTCCCGCAGAAACCACTCGCGAAAACTGGTCACTTTGCCAAGTGGCACTTCCTCCTCGCACCTCACCCATGCAATCAATGCAATGCTTTCTTGGGCGTGCTCTCGAAGCGCTCGGCAAGTTGTCCAAGTGGCTGAAGCCAATCATGCTTGTTCGTCAAGTAGTCGGATGCTTCCGTGACACCGTTTGAGGGCCGGAGAACCTGACTACAGGCATAGACTTTGCAGCACAATGCACCTGCCAATTCAGCCAGCCGACAATCCTCTCCTGCACCTGCAAGGCTGTAAGGAACTGATCACCACAAGTCCAGCATCTCTAATCTCCGACAAAGCCCTATAGCCTGGACGACAACAGGCGATTGGTCAAGGCTGGCCGCCACCTCGAACATGGCTACTCAGCACACGTCCTCCCTGGCCCCCACGAATCCACGCTAAAACACCATTGATCGCACGCGACGAAGCCATGCAAAATCAAGCTTGGCAGCACTGGCCAGGGCGGTGCTCACAGACGGATCGCAAAACAGCCTTGACTCGGCAGGATGTCGAAGATTGAAGTCCGGATCCAGATAGCCAAGCTGCGCGACTCCCATGGCCTTGGCCTTCTTCGCTGCATGCATTAGCACCGCAGCCGACCAAAGGCCTCACAGACAACCCTTTGCCCTCAGCCCGGCAAGGCAGGACTCGAAAGCCGTTGAGCCGTTGACGTCGGGCCTGTGTCAACATCAGCACGAAAGTCTTTGTTGACCTTCTCCAGCCAAAGCAGTGGCTGGTTCTTCGCAGTCCAAAGCATTTTGAAATGGGCACCTTCAACAGCAATCAAGGTGTCGAGACGTGTCGAGGTCGTGCCCGGTAGGAAACGAAAGCCCCTATGCCAAGCTCAGCACGACCCACGGGATGATGCGGGTAGCTTGGATCGCTGACAAGAATCACTTTGGATCTCGCGTTGGCAAGCAGGGGCAAGTGGCCTGGGAGATGTGGAGGACCGCATCACGAGACACGACGACACTCGCTGCAGCAGAGCCGCACTGAGCCTCCACATCAAAACCATGCGATGGGCCCCCGATTTTGGTGGCCCAGAACCTGACACCGGAATCCCCGGCCACGAGTCCCATGGCACAGCATCCACGGCCCATGTCTTCCAGCTTTACTGGTAAGGCAAAAACAAGCCCAGCTCGTTGTCTTCATCCTCGTGGATTTTGATGGTGCCGGACTCTAGCTTCACCCAGCCGCAGGACGCTTCCTGCCAGCTTCTTCAAAATAAACTCTGAAGACTTACAAGCGATCCAGGACATGGAGGAAAAAACTTGTCACAGCCAATATCGGGTGAGCCTGCCAGATGTCCAGCTGGTTCTGAGAAAGACCTTCCAGCTGGCGTCGACCCACCGGGTTGTTGTAGCGCCAGAACTTGTACTTGTTTTCGAGCACCTGCAAGGGGATCTGATGGCACTGGCAGCCGCCCGTGCGTGACAGCGATGTCTCAGCAACATATCAGCACATTGCCACTCTGGTGCCAGGGCAAGGGGCACTTTGCGTGATCTCCTGCACCACCCGATCGATCTCTGCCGTCCTGAGTTTGTTCCGTTGACAAGAGAGCGTCCATGCCCCCCGCCGCCCCGGGACTCGGCAGGTTTTCCATGATCATCGTCGAGCGGCGGAAGTGGTGCCTTGGACAGTGTCTGGTACATCCATTGCCGCCCTTCGTTCAAAGAGCGAAGGGGGAGCAGCAGCTCGTTCTCAAGCGCCAATAGGACACCGTCAATCGATACATGTCCAACACTCTCCTTGGGTGCACTGAAATATGAACGAAGACCATGAAACAACCAGTATGAAGCTCGCAACCGATTATTGTCCCGTAGGGTTCAGCCTTTCATTGCAGCACAGCGATGCGATTGTAGGTACCGAGACTCTACAGAACACGTAGAACAATGTGCATGCGAGCCGAGTAATCTGGAACTATTCCACAGCTTAACACCGTTGACATCTTCGGCAAGCACTCCGAAGATCCAAACGACATGGGTGGATGCAGGATGCCAAACTCTACCCTCCAATGCTCCGGCTGCCAAGAATCCGTTCGACAGCCAATCTCGCGCACGAATTGGGAGCCTTTGGCGACGGATACGTGCAAGCTAGGAAGAAGTATTCGACAATCGTGCTTGGGCTGGCTCTGCTCCATCTAGCACATGTCGCCAGCAAGGCAAGTGAGAGCGCATGAAAAAACGCCCATTTGCGCGGCGGCTATGCTTCTCTGTCTAAATACCCTTAGTCTTATCATCTCTTATCGCTTTTAAAAGGACTTCGACTTTATCGTCGTGTTTTCACTCGTATCGCTTCACAAGACCAAGCACCATCTCAACGAGGACGGGCTGGCTCTTCAACCTCCTCAAGCGAACCCTTCCCAGCAATGTCATCAATACTAATTGCGTGTAGAATACTCGGCTTCAAGATCTGCAAGTCTCAATTGGCGCACTACAAAGTCACACTTGGTCGTGCAAGGATGATCGATGAACCGGAGCAGTCTGGCAGCCTTCCGTCTTGAAGCTTGATTCATGCCGGCACCGAAGGTTGACACTTCCCACATCACGCCAAGAAACAAATCGCATCCTCGCTTGGGCGAGTCTTGCAAAGCTTCCGCACTGCTTCTGCGGAATCATTGGAGCGCTGCCTTGCAAGCTACAGAGTCTGGTGCAATCACGGCGGTAACGTCCAAGCGAGCCAAATCTGTGAGGCAGAACACCATGTACGCAGGGGGAGGAGGGGGGGAAGAAGGGCTTGTGAAAAGGAGGGGGGGAAGAAGGGCTTGTGAAACGCTTTAAGGCTCAGGGCATGGCTGAGACTTCTCGAAGGAAGAGTGCTTGCCCTCTCTGTATGTCAGGCGATCCACTGGATGTTGAGGCGGAAAGCCATGACCCAAAGCTGCATAATCCTTAAATGTCTCATGGTTGACAGACACTGCAGGGAAATCAGGGAGAGAAACTTTCGCCTTCTCTACACACAGCAGAATCATGCCAATTCGGCCACTCGACAATGCATCTCCCAGCTTGCTCAGCCAACAGCCTCAACGCCCGAACCATTTTCCAAGACATCGACCAGGAACGGAAGCGGTCCACCAATTCGGAGTCTGATCAGGAAGGGCGTCGGAACACACAGTCACTAAGGGTTCAGTTTCGGGTTCCTTAAGGGTTCCGTTTGACATAGGGTTTTGGGAGTTTGCCTTAAGGCTAGAGTTTCCGTTTCGGGTTCCTAGACGGGGCTTTGTGGTTTAGGTAGCTTGCATTAGAAGGCATGCAAAATCACAGACAAACTGCTCCTCTGCTCCCAGTGCCCTCTGCACCTCCAAGCATGTCTGCGAGGGTCTCCATGTCTTTGTCCACGAAAGCATCTGCTGTATCAGCTCGTGGTTCATGCACAGACTTCTCCAGCCGCACCCTCCTTGCATGCATGAGACACAACATCAGAACATGTGCAGACTTCAATGAAATCATGAGTGATGTAACTTGGACAAGCACCCCAACAACGAAGGATTCACCGCAAGGTCCGGCAACATCCTGGTGTGAAGACTGATTCCCTTGCAAAGCTGGTGAGACTCGAACTCTACACTTGGCAAAGCAGTCCGGCCTGTCAAGGCCGCTGCACCCAGCTACTGGTGATGACATACTAGGGGCTCAACTACCCTTGTTACAAGCTTGCAGCAACAATATGAGTACGCCTTGCCAAAACCATCATCGTGCCCTCCCCGATGTCTGCTCAGTGAATCTTGGGAGGGGGGCCATGTCCGGCAACTCTTGGCAAATTGAACCGCAGTTGGCTGCAATTCCAGGGCAGATGCACCAATGCTTATGCAAGCGCAAGGGTGGCAACGATATTCGGAGGATTTCGGTAGAGGTAACAATGGAACTATCCGAATCGTTTCTCTGCGGATGGATACTCTCCGCATCATGCATCTCATGGCGTGTACTTCCAGAGGCAGTGGCATGGACTTGACGAAACAACGTAAAGCCAAAAGAGCACCCTCACGCGCCAGGAAGTCCAAAAGCAGGTGCTCATGGGCACAAAAACTAGAGTTCGAGAGTATTTCGCGTGCGCTCTTCGCTCCAGCGTGTTCAGCAAGTCATTAGCAGGCCATCCCCATTTTAAGGATGCTGGCTGGCTGCGCTGGAGCCTCAAACAAAATCAATGTAACGTCTCATGTCGGGGTCAGCGGGCGCGGGCTCGGGGTGGTCAGCGAACTTGGGGTCGGACCGTTTCCTCCGGTCACAGGCACAGGACACCTGGGCTGGCTTTGCAGGTTTGCACTCTGCACAGGGCTCACCAGCAGCCGGGATGTGCATTGCCGCCGCATTCGGCATTACATCATTAAATGGTGCTGGTACGCATTGATGGCAGTATGTCACGGAGCCGGCCTGCAATGCGCTGATGAGCTTCTTGGGGCTTCCGTCAGCCTGTGTTCACAGTCCAACTTTTTATGAAACAATTATTGCAGATTTGCAGCATGCTTCTGCCAGGCTGCGAGACTGTCTGGAATCCTGTCCGTAGGATATTCCCTAAGGTTCGCTACAGAAGCAACATCCAGGCTTGGTGGTGCCTAAGCCCCCATTCTCGGGACGGGTGCCCACAATGCTGCATTGGCATTTTCAATCCAAGCACCGACTACTGCAACAACATCTGCCAGGACCCCACCAGGTTAGTAACCACGCAGCTTTGCCCAAGAATGCTAAATTAGCCGACAATCAACCCATGCTTTCGAAAACAGGCAAGGATTTGTGCGACTCTCCACATGTGCCGCTCGAGCGCTTGAAACCACCCAGAACCATGGATCAAAAAATGTCCTTGCCTGTGCCCCCATCAAAGGCACTTGGCCCTTGCACCAAAGATCTGTTGGCCGTGAGCCTCAGAACTCGAAAGCCAACACAACCCGAAAACCCGAGCGTTGTCAAATGGTTCAGAACACGGCAGGAGCTGCTCTCGGCGGTCCAGAAGTTCGTAGCGCTCCACGGCGGCGCCTCGATAGTCGATCGGCGAAGGCCTTGCCAATTGTAAATAATGAACATCTGCAAAGGCGGATCTCGTGGACAAGCCGACTTCCGACTAACTCACAACAGCTATGACAAACGAACCTTTTGTCCGGCTGGTATGAAAGCGCGTCGGGCCGGTTCATCGCATCCGCCGGAGCTAGGCTGGCCGTCGCGCGGGATGCCTTCAGCATCCCGCCCGGGACTCCCCAACCCCACTCAGCGCCGGAACAGCCGACTCACACCGCCAAGTTCACCAGTTCGTCGGCGGCGTAGTGGACCTCGAAGTTGGAGGTGGCCGACCGTTCCCGGCAGTGTGTCGATCATGCCATCCGCCGACCCCAGGACGTGACGTACCGTGCATTTTGTTCATTCGCTCCGTCGCATCTGCCGAGTTAGTAGTTTTGCGGGCGGTTGTGAAGTCACCCCTGCATTGAGGGTTTCGCCATCGTCCCTGGGTCGCCTCGCCTCGGCGATCTGCTGCCCCAACTATTGCGGCACGAATAGCCCGACAGCCGCAGTGACAAAGGCCAACGGTACAGATTGTAAAATCTGAACGTGTTCAAGGCTTTCTCGATCTTACGAGCTTGCGACTAGCTTGCGCCAATTTTATGTGCCAACTTCACTTGCTTGTGCAAACTTCACAAAAGCGGATGGCGCGAGGCTTTGTCGCCCGTACTCATTTCACCCATGCCAGTTCGCAAGCATGAAATTTCTCATGGAAATTGTACTAGCGTCTTGACATGTTGCAAAGGCATGGAGAGGAAACTCAAAGCAGCTTAAGGCAGACAGCTGACTGTACAAGCTATGTTCAGCGCCAATCAAGATCCCTGTGACGAGACCTCAAAGCAAGATATACTCAGAAGGCACAGCGACGCATTGCGACAAGTGTCCTGCACGACCAGCCCGGTGAAGAGACCTCTGCCCGGTAGAGCAGAGGCCATATTATATGAACGTGTCTGCGATGAGGTTTGTCGGCCTGGACCATCCCGACGTGTGGAGACAGTTGTGTTCCGTTCTGCATCTCCTTTCCCAGACTCCCAGGTGGAGGGGATTCATGATGGGAGAAAACCCTCACCTCCAGAGCAGCCTTATGTGATGTAACAGACAGGATCATCGCCTTGCTGTGCTGCCGCTGGCACCGGGACCATGGAGCGCTCGCCACCATGTCACAGAAGCATCCTGCGAAGCCCGGAGTTCGTATGAGAGCCGCCTGCCGGTCGGTTGAAACTCCAGACCGATGCGTCGGCTCCGAACCAAATCGCCAAGCAAAACAAACCACATCGATTGCGTCAAGTGCTTGGCAAGGCGAACTTCTCCACCGGCATCGATGGCCGAAGGCTGCGCCGACTTCCTGGACTTGTGCTCCTGCCCTTCGAACTGGAGGCTGACGAGGCTTCTGCGAGGGGGAGTCTTTGCCGGGGGTGCTTGGCAGCGACGAGGGTTGCATGTAAAACTCCCCCGCCGACGCGGAATGCTCATCTCGTAGGCATGCTCCACATCACAGTAGCACATGACAGATGGTGACGTCTTCGCGGGAGGCGACGGCGTTGCGCAGCCCGTCGACTGCGTTCGCAACCTCCGCCTGGGAGTGGGACGATATGGCATCGCTCAGGCAGATGGAATGCTCAGGAAGCTGAATCGTCGGACGATGCAAGGCCGGATATGCTGCGCATGACATGCATCGACCTCCGAGCTTGTCTCTGCACGCACTACATGCGTTACAATCGTTGCGGTCAGACTAAGTGACTGAGAATCCTGATGATTGCCAACTGAGAATCATGATGCTTGCAAACAGCACAGGCCGTCTCAGCCACGTGCGCATAGTGAAGGCAAGCCATCTTGAACGCAGCAAGCACGAGTGGAGCCTTCCGAGAGTAAGCTTCCTAGCGCTGGGCGCAGCCTACAAGTGGCTGTGCGCACCTGCCCACTGCAAGAGACGCAGCGGTTGTCAACCCTCACCACGGGCTTCTGGGCCTGGTGAGGAGACCCAAGGCATCGGCAACGATGCGTAACCGTGCACGGCTCCAGGAAGACAGCGTTGCAATGGACTATGACTACACCTGCGCCAATCCGTGGTTTGCATCCGTGTTGGAGGTGTTGGACGGCTTCATGCCTCCGGGCCTAAGTTGGCACAAGCGCTTTGCCATCGTTTCCAATCAACGCCGATTTGCTGGGCAGCAAGCGCCGTTTTCACACGACCTCAGCCAAAATGCAACACGGCCGAAAAGTGATTGAATCCCGATGCACTGAAGCTCAAGGACAGGCGACATACTATATCTGCCACAAGAACTTCTACATTCGAGTACAAGTGTGCAAGGGAAAAGGCATAGGCATAAACCATAAACCAGGCCAGGACTAAAACGAACCCGAAGAGCAAGCACCCTGATCCTCCAATGCCGTTTTATTCCGTCTACTAGGTGCTGTCAGCTTGAACTAGGCTCCGCGGCACTCGGGTCTGGGTTGCTGAGGTTCGGTATGTGTCGTGCGGGCCAGAGTTCGCCTTGAAACATCTTCCACACGTTACCCACACAGGCACCGCAGCACAGCGTTCACGAAGGTTTTGGATCCACATCTGACTGGGTTGCCGTCTCGTCATCTTTGACCTCGGTCGGAACCAGTCGGATCGCTTCTTTGGGGTTGGCATTCTTGGACTGGCACCCCCATCAAGGAAATTCTGTCGCGATCCACTGCATCCTGCTTCTCGAGAGCCTTGTGGAGACGGAGAAAGTCCGAAGCCGAGCATTCGTTAAGGTCGCAGAGTCTGGGAAGGCGGCACATTGCATCAGCTCACTCTCCAGGACTGGCTGCAGCCTGAACGGACCAGCGCTCTGCCGGAATTGGATCACGTCAGCTCAGGTTTCAACACCGAGTAGATGTGCTCGATTCCACGGAGGACTGCCTTATACAGCTGCCAAGTGCAACCCGACGCTCTCTCATGCAACGCTCCAACGCCAAGCTCCGGGCATCAGAGTTGTCGAAAACACCACCAAGTCTCTTCTTCAGCGCCTTCAGCCTTCCCATGGAGCGAAAACGCAAGGCAATGCATACGGGGCCTAGGATGAGATTATTGAGCACAGAGGTGCCGTTGCCAAGGCACTCGTTGTCTGCCGAGGTTTTGTCCCTTTTCCTCCGTCTGTTCAGCTCCTGCAGGCGCATACTGCAAACGGGAAGTACGGCTCCCGTCTCGCGGCACCTCCAGCTCTTCACGTGCTTCGGCTGCCAAGGCATTTGCCTGTGCTGCGGAGCGCAAAGCCCGAGAGAAGAGCAACGCAGCAACGATCGACCACAGAGAGTTTGAGAAAGAATCGACAGAATGAAACCACTTCTGGAGTGGCACAAACTCGCGCAGCTTTTCAGCACTAGATAAACCTGGTCTGTGGGAAGACTGCAAGCTCATGATACACGGTCTGCAACTTCGTAGATCCTCCTGGGAAATCGGAATGCCGATGCACCTTCCAAATAGACTTCAGGAATCGACACTGATGTGTCAGAGCGAAATGGTTTCAGGCTTCAAGAGGTGGCGATCAGATGGAGGTCAGTATGGCATCCAGGTCCAGGTATTTATTGAGACAGGATGAAATAGAAAACACTCTACAGGCACAAGCAAAACCGCGACCGCGGCCTTGGATGCCACCTCATCTACGCGCAGCTCCAGGCTCTCCACACTTTGCGTGGCTTTGCTCATAAAGCTTTTCACCTGAAGAGGAAATTTAAGCCCACAGGTCTGTGAGTCCACTCATCACACAGAACCTCTTCCCGAAGCTTCGCGGAGTTGGACAGCTCGACCTTCGTCTTCGTGCAAGTACGGGTACTGCATGTCTCAACCGCAGGGGCGTTTCTTACTTGAATGAGACTGCCGACGCAGGCCCTAAGTGCGAGCAAGGCACCTGATACTCCTCGCGCACCTGCTTCACAAAGTTGGCATTGTGGGAGGCGATGGTCTCGGACGCTGTGCGAAAATGCTCTCGCACGTCGTTGACCACCTGCGCAGAGATTCTACAATTTCCTTGCACGTGCAACAGCAACGGATCGATAACGTTACAGGTTTGGCATTTTGATCTGATAGAAGCACGGTCTGATGTGTCACCACCATTAAGCTATCAAGCTCGCATGCCATGCATGCATGAATCTGGTTCAAGTCCGTTCCGCTCCGCTCCGTTCCCGGATTCATTGGATGAGATCGCGCATCACCGAACAACGTCACGTTGCCATTCAGTCCCGTCCTTCCTGTATTTTGCCTCAAATTCATTCCACTCCTCTGCGTACACTGCTGAAAAGGGTTGAAGAGAGAGAGAGAGAGAGAGAGAGAGAGAGAGAGAGAGAGAGAGAGAGAGAGAGAGAGAGAGAGAGAGAGAGAGAGAGAGAGAGAGAGAGAGAGAGAGAGAGAGAGAGAGGAGAGAGAGAGAGAGAGAGAGAGAGAGAGAGAGAGAGAGAGAAGAGAGGAGGGAGAGAGGAGGAGGGAGAGGGAAGGGAGAGGGCGAGGGAGAGGAGGGAGAGGGAGAGGAGAGGGAGAGGGAGAGGGGAGGGAGAGGGAGAGGGAGAGGGAGAGGGGAGGGAGAGGGAGAGGAGAGGAGAGGGAGAGGGAAAGAGAGAGAGAGAGAGAGAAGAGGAGAGAGAAGAGAGAAAGAGGAGAGAGAGAGAGAGAGAGAGAGGGGGGAGGGAGGGGGAGGGAGGGAGGGGAAGAGAGAGAGAGAGAGAGAGAGAGAGAGCGCGAGGGAGGAGGGAGGGAGGGAGGGAGGAGGGATAGAGAGAGAGAGGAGACAGAGAGGAGAGGAGAGAGAGAGGAGAGAGGGGAGAGAAGGAGAGAGAGAGAGAGAGAGGGAGAGGGAGAGAGGGAGAGGGAGAGAGAGGGACAGAGAGAGAGAGAGGAACGGGACAGAGAGAGAGAGAGGGAGTAGAGACAGAGACAGGAAAAGTGGAAGGATCATAGACAGGCAGTTGCTGTAAGTAGGATATGTGCCTACATGCCCGTGTACCGCAAAACTGGTATTTAAGCGGCAGTATAGATAAACACATCCACCATGAGACATGTAATGCGAAATACCTCACACAGGCTGCACAGAGTGTCGCATTGAATAGCAGGATCTTCCACGATGACACTGAAGACCGAGGGAGGGGACCGAAGAAGGGAGAAAAACAAGTCCCTGTGCATGCGCTGCAATAATGATTACATGCACGGTCGGTGTGTCTATGCGCGTGGGGGGGGGGAACCCGAACTTCCAAGTGATAGCTCTGCTTTGCTCTTCGAGGCATTCGATGGAAGCAGCGGGGCACGGCCCTAACTCACTACCATGCCCAATGACGCTGTGTGAATAAGGGGGATGTGCTTCAGGACACTCAAGCATGTACCTGCACATCAGGACAAGACTCAATCCTCGCTTGGGGCTGGCCTTATCCCCAACATGGTGCCGAGGACGGGAACGACGAAACAAGACAAAGGTAGAAGGTTGCAGGTAATCTTTGGCTACACCAGCGAGCCGGGCCTATTCAGGACTTGTCTCTCAGATTGAGGAATTGAAGGTGACTGAAATCTAAGTGAACATCACACACCAAATGAAGCTGTCAGATTCCGAGTTCAAAGGTGGTTCGGGCATGCTGGCTGGGCTCCAGCAGGCACAAACAGCAACACACCCGGAAAGATGGGCTGCGAAAGTCGATGCTTGAAGCCGGGATGAAGTATACTCTAATTGATGGATGAAGTATACTCTAGTTGATGCTCTTGAGTTCCATCCTGAGACCTGCCATTGATGTCGGTTTGAGCACGGCAGACATACCACGCAAAGTCTGCAGATGCCTTGCGCCTCTGAGCAGGTGATAACAAGTGTAATTTGACTTCTGTTTGGTTGGTAACCCTTTCGTAGGCTCCTCATGTTGTAAGGCCGGGCTCCCCAAGTGGGAATGTCTTTTGATTGGTCAAACCCCCTCCCACAGGTTCCCCAACAACATGGTTCCTCTTCTGAGTGGTAAACCCTTCCTGCGGGCAAAGAAAGTTGCCACTTTCATCGTTCGGTTAGTAGTCCCTTCCTGTAGGCTCCTTAAGTTGGCACCTCCTTGATTCTCCCTAAATCAAGATTGCGTTGCAAATGTGAGCCCATTCTTGCTGGCGTGAACAATTACACCGGAGGCGTGCGCAGAGGAGCGTGCAAAGATTGCTTGGAAACTGAAAACTAGATTCCCAAAGCTGCCCTTGGCTGCTTAAATAACTCTTTTGCCTGGTGGTTCTTTCCTTTCATTCGTTTGTCGCCGAATCAACAGTCAGATTGCTCCGGAAGAAAACGCCGTGGCAGTCAGTACCATGCCCAATGACACTGTGTGAACAAGGGGGAAGTGCTACAGGAATCTTCCGGATACTCAGGCATGTACCTGCACATCAGGACAGGACCCAATCCTCGCTTGGGACTGGACTCCATCCCCGAGGACGAGAATGACGACCAAAACACGACAACTGTTAGAGGGTACAGGTGATCCGTGGCTGCATAAGGAAGCCAGAGGCCGATTGCAGACCTGATAACATTTGCTGCTTGATTCTCAGGTTGAAGACTGTCGGATTCCGAGTTTGGGTGACGGGATGTTGAAGAAGCCATGTGCAACGCATGAAACGCGGCATGAAACGCAGCTCTCAGAAAACATGCACAAATTGGCAGAAATGTGGAACCGAATTCTCTGAAGAAATCACCGGATTTTTCTGAAACGAGCATTGGTCTGTTCAGACATATAAAACACAGAAACTCCTCAGCATGGGCCCTACAACCTGGACCCCTGCATGTAAACCCGAAACTCTCATTCCTGCACCCTAAACCCTTAACCCCATGCATTTCTACCGGCCCTAAAACCTAAACCCTGAACCCTAATTCCGAAACCCCAAACCCTAAACCCCATGCATGTATACCAAGCCTGGAAGTTCAGATGTATGCCACGGCATAATTTCTGAAAAACATTACGGCGTCTGTTTTTAAATATACGGATATTTAAATAGGTTAAACAGGTATATTACACTACCTCCGTGAAACATCGCCCGGGCCCGCCTCGAAATAAAATATCCGGAGATTGGCAGATGATTGGTGGGTTTGGGGTTTAGGATTTTGGGTTTAGGGTTTAAGGGTTTAGGCTTCAGGTAGAAGCCAAACCTTTCAGCTTTAGGTTCAAGCCAAACCGCGCCCTCCAGCCTTGCTCAAGCCTTCCAGCCTTCCTCCAGCCCCAAGCCACTCCAGCTTCCAGCCTTCCAGCCAGTTTTCAACAGCCCCACCCTCCAGTCCCCCCCCAAGCCCCAGGGCCTCCAGCCCCCCTCCAGCCCTCCAGCCTTCCACCCTTCCCGTTTTCTCGCCTTCCTTTAGCCCAGCCCTCCTCCAGCCTTCCAGCCTTCCAGCCCTCCAGCCCTCCAGCCTTCCAGCCTTCCAGCCTCCCAGCCTTCCAGCCTTCCAGCCCTCCAGCCTTCCAGCCTGCCCGCAACTTAGGCTGGAAAGCTGGAAGGCTGGAAGGCTGGAGGGGCTGGAAGGCTGGAAGCTGGAAGGCTGGAAGGCTGGAGGGGCTGGAAGGCTGGAAGGCTGGAACGCTGGAAGGCTGGAAGGCCGGAAGGCTGGAAGGCTGGAAGGCTGGAAGGCTGGAAAGCTGGAAGGCTGGAAGGCTGGAAGGCTGGAAGGCTGGAAGGCTGGAAGGCTGAAAGGCTGGAAGGCTGGAAGGCTGGAAGGCTGGAGGGCTGGAAGGCTGGAAGGCTGGAAGGCTGGAAGGCTGGAAGGCTGGAAGGCTGGAGGGCTGGAAGGCTGAAAGGCTGGAAGGCTGGAAGGCTGGAAGGCTGGAGGGGCTGGAAGGCTGGAAGGCTGGAACGCTGGAAGGCTGGAAGGCCGGAAGGCTGGAAGGCTGGAAGGCTGGAAGGCTGGAAAGGCTGGAAGGCTGGAAGGCTGGAAGGCTGGAAGGCTGGAAGGCTGGAAGGCTGGAAGGCTGGAAGGCTGGAAGGCTGGAAGGCTGGAGGCTGGAAGGCTGGAAGGCTGGAAGGCTGGAAGGCTGGAAGGCTGGAAGGCTGGAAGGCTGGAGGCTGGAAGGCTGGAGGCTGGAAGGCTGGAAGGCTGGAAGGCTGGAAGGCTGGAAGGCTGGAGGCTGGAAGGCTGGAGGCTGGAAGGCTGGAAGGCTGGAAGGCTGGAAGGCTGGAAGGCTGGAAGGCTGGAAGGCTGGAAGGCTGGAAGGCTGGAAGGCTGGAAGGCTGGAAGGCTGGAGGGCTGGAAGGCTGGAAGGCTGGAAGGCTGGAAGGCTGGAAGGCTGGAAGGCTGGAGGGCTGGAAGGCTGGAAGGCTGGAAGGCTGGAAGGCTTGGAAGGCTGGAAGGCTGGAAGGCTGGAAGGCTGGAAGGCTGGAAGGCTGGAAGGCTGGAAGGCTGGAAGGCTGGAAGGCTGGAAGGCTGGAAGGCTGGAAGGCTGGAAGGCTGGAGGGCTGGAAGGCTGGAAGGCTGGAAGGCTGGAAGGCTGGAAGGCTGGAAGGCTGGAAGGTTGGAAGGGAGGGCTGAGGGCTGGAGGGCTGGAGGAAGGCTGGAAGGCTGGAGGAAATAGGAAGGCTGCAAGGCCGGAGGGCGGGCTGGAGCCCTCCAGCCCTTGCAGTCTCCAGCCTTCCAGCCTTCAACCCCTCAAGCCCTAAACCCCTTCCAGCCTTCAACCCTCCAGCATTCCAGCCTTCACCTTTTTAAGACTGAAGGCTAGATCACGTCATACCGGGATTTAAATATACGGATTTAAACAAATATTTTATACTACCTCTGCGGCCAGTGCGGCTGGCCGGGCCCCCACATATTTAAAAAACGTCACCGTAAAATCATTAAAACCTTTCCTGAAAGATCTGCGGCATATGTTTTCTTGTCGAAATCGAAGTCACACCTTCCTGCCTGTAATCACTGATCCAGCACACAAGATGGCCTCACCAACGGTCTGCCGCATCTGTGAAGTGGAGGTCTTCGCTTCATGCACCATCTTGGCCACCTGGCCGTCAACGAATGACATGAAATGTGTGTCGGGAAGTTCTCACACAAAATGGGGGGGGGCTTTCTTGCCTGTATCTCGGCTCAAGGACTGATTCAGGTTAAGCGAGGCGACGGAACGTCTGCCCGCAGCTTCTCGAGCTGGACGGCTTCTGCCTTGCCTTCTTGTAGAGCAGCTACTGCATCCTGCACTTTCACGGTATCATCAGCGAGCATGCCGAAGGTGAGGTTTCGACTCTGCAAACAAAGTGAGTGCGCTCTGAAAGCACCATCCTCGAGCTTGCCGAAGGTCGCATTCGTCTTTTTCAGTTCTCCGGCTATCTTGGTCGCATAATGTAGAATCACTCAGAGCTGTGTGCAAAGATCCGGAGCGAGCCCTGGGGCCCTGGACCTTCGCCAATCCCAGCTCATCTCCCCAGAGTTCATCACTCAGGGCGTTGTGCTGCCTCTCCATGCTGGCAAATCGGACCTCGCTCTGAGACGCTCTCCCTTGCAGAGACGCAGGGAGCGCCAAGCTATGCCAGGCTTCCCGCTTCGGTTTCAGCTTTGAACTGAGTGAATCGTCTGCTCTGCTCGTCCTTGGAGCATCACTTGCTCACGTACCATTTCTCAGTGTTCCGCTGTCAGAGTCACTGCCATCCAGGCAGGGAGCGACACGAGCTTCACAGATGTCCCGAACTGCGTCCTGATCCTTGCACCGGACCAGGCATGATCCAGGGACCGCAGCAAAACACAGGGATGAGATGCTACTCCACGGCTCTCCTCCACAAGCCGGTTTACCTCATTGGCCACCCGTTCCAGATTCCGCTGCATATGATGCAGCGTGGATCTGAGCACATGAGACTGCAAGCATGAGAAAACTGCGTCCATGGTGATAACACCATTGGTGGATGCACAGCTGTGATTCGCACTCCTTCTGTTCCAAAGCAAACCCTGGCAAGCTCTGGCCAGCACATCAGCTTGTAAAGTTGTGCAACCACTGCGCCGCACATAAACGAGGCGGTTTGGCGCTGTGCTTCCAGCTTCTGGAGCATAGCTTCCAGCTTCTCATCCATGGAGGCCTGATCGGGCAAAGTTGGAATGATCTGCGTTGTATGTACTGTGCTGACTCGAGCAACTCAGCAAGCAAACCCATGAAGACACCCACACCAACCCGGGCATTTGCCGAGCGTTCTTTGCGGGCTCTGCCCCTCGAAGCCTCCCGTCTCCCCTGTACAGGCTCCTGTCCGGGCTTATGCAGGCTCTTTCTTGCCGAGTTCAGCTCCCGGACCAGCGGCAACATCTCACTCGAGCCCGCAGTCGGATCTAACCGTTGTCGGAGTGCCCAAGGTCGTCGACATGCTTCTGAAAAAGCCATATCAAAGCAATAAGACATCTGTTCGTTATAAGAGCAGGAATACGAGAAATGAATGCCGGGCAAAGACGATGACCCGTGGCTGAAGCTAGTCGTCCCAGCTGGGCTGGTGAGCCACGGATTCGCTACACAGTCAGAACAACGTAGGGCCAGGGCATGTGAATTGAATCATTCGTCAGCTATTGACTGCTGAAATTTGTCGGAAACTTGACACCGAATTGTCGACGCTTGTGTGCGCTTGCAGCTTCGCATGAGCCCGCCTAAACGTGAGGCTCACGAGTCACACCTGGAGCACATTAGCCTTCAAAAACCCTGCAACAACTTGCGCAATGACATGTCACATGCAAGTCCTAGCACTGGTGGTCAAACTATGTTTCGTGTTCGAATGGCTCTTACTGCCCTGAAGTTAGTCGACTCTGCAAGCGGTGGAGGGCCTCTGCGATTCGTCGCTGACTGTCCCACCGACCCATTTCCTCCTTTATCTGCGCGACGGCGCCTACCTGCAGCGTCTGGCGCATGCACGCCAGGTGTACAGAATGATCATACGGAGTCATAAGGCATACAGCTTGACTCGACATCGTCTTAGACTTCGTAAGTCTGGCCTGCTCCTGAAATCGAAGCTGGCCCAAGTGTAGAGAGTCCCTGGCAATGGATTGGTCATATCTCTTCATGGCCTGAAACTCTCCAGCATGACGGACATGCAACGAAGGGTGTCTGAAGTCACGATAAAGTGGGATGAGCATTTCCCTCACATGATAGTCACCCCTTTGGCTTCGGCGACTCGAAGCTGCTCCAAGCACATCCTGATCTGCCCATCCATTGGCTCGATTAGGTTATCCGAGGACGAAAACATACGCGACAATTCACTTCGGGTCAGTGGTCGGGGCCTGTAACTGTAGTGGTTCCGTCCCAAGAGCTTACATGTCGGAACCTGAAGAATGCTCTTCCCGATGCCCTTCCGAGATCAAAAGGTCACCAAATTTTCTGAGATACGCAATGCAACGTGCCGACGCTGATCAATGCGCAGCCTGCTTCACCCGATGCATCTCCCTCTATGCGCTGGAATACGTTATTCAGCAGCGAGTCCGTGTGGACATGGATGGATGTGGGATCCTTCTTAGCTTTTATGTCAGCATGCTTGCCGTGACCTGTGGACTTTCTCCACGGACAGTCAGAGACGTGCAGTCCTTCAAACATCGATGTGCCCTGACCTGTGCCCCGAAGTATGCACTGCTTCGTTGTGGTACCGACTGATGCCAAAACACCCGATGTGAACATCCTCCTGCGCACTTGCACGCACTTCCTTCTCTCCGCTTTCCCTGCCTTTCACTTGCTTGCTTGATGTTTCGCTCTTGCTCGTGTGACAACCAACATCTGCATCCCACCACATCCCACCCAATCTGGCCGAAATTCTGGGCAGTCAACACGACGATCAACTTTTTAGACCGATGCACTGAACACCTCTGCATGCCACCATGGTGTCAGACGGACCATCATGTCGTTGGTGCGTCATTGGTGCAGTCAATTCCGGAATGCGATGCCTCCAGTCTGTTCACTAGCTCTGCGTCACAACCGTGTGCTCCACCGGGGCGGGCGAACATGCTTCCATGTAGGCAAACGTGTCAATCTGTGTCAGTTCCAGTCGAGGCGGGCAGGACCTCTTGAGATTTGAGGTAGACTGCTCTTGAGTTGCTGGAAACAGCTCGCTGTGCTTGACTCCTTGACCGCGAACGATTCTCAGCAGAACTTGCAGAGATCTCGAGGTCGAGCCATATACAGTACTTGTTGGTGCCGGAACCTTCCACTTCTCACACAACCATTCTCTGCACATTCAATGCTGTGACTGCACCACCATGGCCCTCCAGGCTACGCTGAGTTAGCCCATTGTGCAGGTCCATGAGATGTAAGCCTCGGAGCCAAGCCGAAGCGGTGCTTCTAAGTCGGAACAGTCCGGGGCCCTGACTTCCATTGCTCGAACCGCACAGAGCCTGGCAGGCAGGGGCAAGTTTGTTGATGCGACGGCCCATTCTATTCTAAGTCTTTTCAAGTTCTGGATGTCCACTTGCAGATGAATCGGCAACAGAATATTCTCTCGCACGTCAAACCCAAATCAGAACCCAGAGTTGAAGTTCGGCCTGCTGCACTTTGAAATCAACGGCCAAAGAACGTACGCGGCCAAATTTGCCTGAGATGTCGCCGCAACACCGATGCGAACATGTGTGGCCGTTATCACAACTGAAACGGTCTCTGCCAGGATGCATTCGTGCGCTTGCATTTGGGCCTTCTTCTCCAGATTCCAGGTGATGAGTTGGGCATCCCAGCCAGCCGTGACTGCAGTACCACTGGTCCAATCCACGGCAAGGTCCTGAGGGCTCATGCCGCATCTGTGCATCTTCTGCAGCTGCTGGCTGCTACTGCGACATAACTGCATCCATGCCGCTGCGACAACATCCTGGTGTCCTGGCATCTGCACTCCGCATGCTTCTTCTGTGCCGAATTGACCCTTTGCTTCGGAAGTTTGATCCCGGCGCCTTGTAGTAAATCTGCTTCGGACGAAGTGGGATCGGTAGTTTCCTTCTCGGCTGCCTCAAGCAGGCAGAGAGAAACCTACAGTACCTATACTCGTCAAGGAAACGAAGAGGAAGATGATCAGGAAGAGCAAAAGGGCCCTAGCTTGTTACATCTGATTACCACCAAATCAAACAACTTCCTGCGAGGAGCCGAGGCATCGAAGTTCCACAGTTGCAGGTGCTTGGTCGAGCTTCCGGTTCCAGCAAGCAGCTGGGACTTCGTCCAGTCTACTGAGATGCACATCAAGCCACCTGCGTGTCCGCTCGATGTGTGTACACATGTCCAATCGCGTACATCCCAGATCTTGAAGTTTTCGTCTCCAGCACTGACGAGCCTGCTGCTCTTGAAGTCAGCTTTCAATGCCCAGACGCCGCCACGGTGTGCTGGGAAGGTCGTTTGCAAATCTGCAGTGGTCATGGACCATACTCTCAAGGAGCCGTCCCCGCATCCAGCCAGCGCCCGGCGACCTTTCCAGTCTGCTTCAACTGCCGTGCAACCTTCCGGAACCTCGGTCATTGTCTTTTGGCAACCACCCAGCTTCAGATTCCAAAGTTTTGAGGAGTCATCCGCGCCACTGACAGCTTCAAACGTTTCCCAGTTGACCGTCAAGGAGTGGACACTTCCTGTGTGACCTTCCAGAACACGGATACATTTCGTCTCCAACTCCAAATCCCACAAGCGCACGGTGCCATCTTCAGAACCGCTCAGAACCATGGCTGAAGCCCTGGCTGGCTGAGCAATTGAGGTCGGTTCGTCGACAAAGGCAGGGACCGGAAGAGGTGCGGGATCCCAATTGTCGAAAATAGGTGCGGCCACCGGCGTCACCGGCTTTCCCACATCCGCCTCTTCGGCCTCCAAACCATCCGCTTCCTCTTCCTCCGCAGCCACCCGTTTCTCCTCCTCTTCCTTCTCTTTCTCTTTCGGCAACTTCATGCTCGTCGCGGATGTGCTCGAGGTCGGGGGAAGGCCTGCATTTGGTGGATGCGGCCCTTCTTCCTCGACTTTTGCTCTTTTCCTGCCGTCTTTGGAATCCTTCTCCTTCTTGCTTTTCTTTTCTTTATCATCTTTCGCTTTCCTCCTGAAGCCACTTCCAGCGCGGCTTGTACAAAAACACGCTTCACACACACACACAGACACCAGTCAATGCAGATTCAACTCTTGCAAAGCGTCTTCTCGTCTGATCGTTTATGTGAGTCTTTCTTCTTGCTTTCACCTGCAAAAGCTTCAACCACAAGGGCATTCGACGTGTGCTGTGTGTATGCGCGCGTGTCACACGCAAATGCTCACAACAGTTCCGAGGCCTTCGATCTTCTGTGGGGCATCTTCCTGCTCAGTATGCAGTCAACTTATTCATGGTACATTGAAGAAGCTGTCGCTGCTATGGACAACGCAAGCCGTGCATAGCCGTGCTTGACGACGTCGCGCGTAAGAAATCGTGCTCACCACATCTCACTATCCTACCAAAAACATCCAGAAACCATGTCACCTCCTCACTAGACAAGAGCGAGTGCGTTTCCCATGATTTGAACTGTTTTCTCAGTCTGTTTGTTGTGCACCGCTGAAGTGGCGTGCGCAGGTGTTCTTCGTGTGAGCCAACCCGTGATATGGACTCGTGCCATAAAATGGCCGCCAAACCTTGATAGAAGTCCGTCTGGCTTACTCCAAGTTCCGGAGTACGACTATCTGACCGGAGCGGGTAAGAGTACAACCGGTATCGTGAATGCTGCAGCATTCGGGTGCAAGAAGGGGCATGCCCAAGCATGCAAAGTGGTCAACATCGTAAGTTTTTCCGTTCTGCGGTCGCACATGCTCCCGCACATTCTCGAGCTGTGCTTAGTGAGTTCCAGACGAAACCCCGAATGTCACGTCTGTGCAAGTGCAATCTCGGCCGGCTAACGGGTTTCTGCCACTTGCCCTTTCTTGCCCATCGGCCTCAGAGGAATGCCCTCCGCTTGACTCCCCGAGGGCCTTGCTACCTTCCTGCACATCCATTGCGGAGAGAGGGAAGGGACCCGGGGCTGGGCGATTTTCCAGATGCAAGTGAGGCAGCAAATAAAGCAATACTGACGGGCCAGTGGGGAAAATCTCTTGGAGAATCCAGCTGCGCGGTGTCTGCAGGATCTCCAAGTTTTCTCAAGGAGCATCAACACTCAACACATACGTACCGCTTCCGAACTGAAGATCATGTCGGTGGATCTGTTTCATGTCACGCTGAGGTGCTTGCAGCTCGTCGCGGACTTCAGAACGGGAGAGACTGGGCATGACACTGTACGGGTCAGCTACCCTGAGAGCTCTGAGACCAGACGACCTAGTTGTGCTTTGGGAGCCTGGCCAAAGGGAAAAAACAAAAAATAACAAAAACATCAGACTTGAGACTTTCAGTTTGCACTGTGCCCGGGCACAAAAGCAGACAACGGCCTCTCGCGCTAGAGTAAGAAAGTTTGCGTCTTCGTGCACATGCATGTACATGCACCATGTTGGGCACCTTCTTCTCCGCGCGACTGCCTTCCGTAGACTCGGCGGCATGGAGTTGACTAATCTCAGAGGAGAATATGCGCTGAACTTCGTCCTGAGACACCATCGAATCGCTCGTTGCTCGCAGAAGGGCATAGGTGCAACAGCGCGCTTAAAGAACTAGCGGGGACGGAAAGCGGGAGGCCTTCTGGGTATCCAGAGCTCCTGGCCCGAGGCCAAGGGATGTTTCCAGTGACGCACGAAGTTGGCCTCGGAGAGCTGAGTTCTGCCGGAGCTCCGGCTCGAAGCTTCCTATGTTAACGAGAACCCCCCATGTCCATCGAAGCGTCATGTCAACAACTCTTGATAGCGTCGTGGTATTAGCTTTACAGCTAGCCACATTAACCAAGTATTTGAACGAAGTGTTCTTCTCGTACTGACTTCGAATACTGTCGCAATATCTAGTTAATCTAGTTCATAAGTAGGGTAAAACTAACCTGGGACAGGAAGTGTATCCTACATTGACATGAGCCTTGCATGCAAGGAGCCTACTGAGGTACTTTTCAAGTCCACCTCTGCCAGCAGTTTCCGCACTTCTGCCCGCATACGATCGGTACTTATGCCAGCAGCCATGGCTGTGCATTCGCCGAAGTGCCCAAAGAATACGCGTGTCAAATGCCAAGGTGGACTCCCCGAGCCACGAAGCGGAGTGATGCGGAGTGCAGAAGGGTCAACACACTGACCATGGACTGCAATCTCAATCTCTGCATGCTGCTGGATGTACGTACATCGAGCACAGAGACCAGACCGACATGCTGCGAGCATGAATGTTCACAGCCTGTACTTACTGTCAAATTGCGCCGGCAGGGCAGCTCCTTCATATGCCTCGCCACGGAGGTGTTGAGGTGCTCAACCTTTCCGCAGATGCTCAAGACCAACACCGGCAGTTGACCAAACGCCACACTCACAGCTCCACGACACAGTAAACACCACACCCAAATCCCGCCCTTGCGATCACGAGTCGCAAACATGCAGGCACTCTATGGCACTCTCTGTCGTGGCTGTCCGGAGACAATCGATTCGAGTCGATTCTTCGGTTTGCGCGGGGCCGACGAGCAGAAGCGAGGACAGCATGCGAGCAGTGGAGATGGAAGCGACACCACGGAGCAAACCCGAATCCAGAGCCAGACACGGACGAGACCCAAGTGTTCGTGGCTGCTCGATCTCAGAGACGTGTTCAGGGTGTTCTCGGTGAATGACCGCCAGAATGACGAAAGGGGACGTTCTTGTCGACTGTGAAGAATACCCCGACTGGGACTGCTCTACGATGCTCTGCGCTCTGGTGCACTCCGTCCGTGGCATCGAAGACTTTTGACACTACGAGTAGTGGACTCGTACAGGTCGGAAGCTCGGCTCTCAAAGCCAAAGGCGTTGGCAACTGGCGGAACACACATCTCACGGATAACACTCGTAGACACTGTATATCAAAGCATATCAAAGCATTGCCTCAGATCCCAGAACGGTCATCTTCTGGACTGTCGGCTCTAGAAGCTCCTGCCCAGCGGACTTCAGACATGGCTTCGTAACTTAGATATAGCTCAAAGCCGCGGACGGAAAAAGCCGGTCTTTATTGGAGCAATTCTCGCTACTGACTGGTATGTGGATCAGATTTCTCACAACTGTTCTACATGACCGCCGGGAATGGCTGTGAACAAGGCTTCTCGATACATACACAATCAATCTGAGATGGGGAATCATCGTGGATTTTCGAGCGGTCATGGAATCTCGAGAAGTCGCAGCCATGCTGCGAGAGGTGCTGAACCTGCTCCAACATTCTGCTGGGCAGCAGCATGCGGTGTGGTGGTTCCTTAGGTTCCTGCGACCAGGAGGCCGGCAGCCTTTCACGGCCAAGCCCAGCCTGCATCGCTCGCAACCGCACGTCGCTGTCCAAAGCATGGTCTGCACGGGCCAGCATCGGCCAGCATACCGGCATACTCGTCTTTGTTGACATTGCCCTTCGACGGATGTATGATGGGACAGTACAATTACAACTCTGACGCTGCCTCAGCTATCGTTCCAGCGTCTGGCAGTCCCCTCCAAGTCTGAGACGATCCGTGTACCAAGCCCTCCGCCGCTTACCAATGAGATCAGATCTTCCAACAATTCCACGTTCCCTAAGATGTCAACATGATCTCCCGAGCTGGGTCCACCACGCAGGCTTCCGGACATTACACCTTTGGGCCCAGGCCTGTCTTTGTACTCCCGCACTGTGCATGGTATCCTTGCAGGATTCCTTTCTTCGTTTCTCCAGCCCTTCGTGCACATGAACCCTAATGAAAGCACGGGGCAGGAGTAGTCACCGTCTCCAAGCAAGAAGCCTGCATTCGGCGCGTGAGCTTCCCTGTCAATACCGTATTTAGGACGTTGGACATCATCACCAGATGCTTCCAAAGCTCCCGTGTACTCGGTAGACACTCCCACACCATATAATGCATACATCTTCATCTGAGGGGCGAAGGGCAAGACGGTTGCTAGCGCATTCCCCCAGGTTGTGTCTTTTCTCTGGCGTTCTGCTTGTGCTTCGATCGGTGCTGAAGCACGAATTCCCTGCAGCAGCCAGGCCTCAATCCGCTGTAGATCTCGTGGAACATTCCCAGCACTGGCAAGCAAATCGTATGCTTCTTCAACCGTCAGGTTCTTGCCCTGTACTTGCACCAGCGGCATGCCTGTGACCTGCTGCCCCCAGACTGCATTCCCGCCTATCGGCATGATCATCGACAAGGATGAGCAGCTTCTCCAAAGACTCCGACGCGTGTTGCTACCAAAGTAATGGTTGACAACAGCACTGAAAGTGCCCATGGTAGCAAAGTCTCTGTTGTCACCGGTAAGGAGTGAGAAGTACGCCTTCGGCAGGCCAAGCAGTGGAGATGAAATCAGGATTACCGAGTGCACATGATTGTGCACCCAGTTGGGATGCACGTTATGCGTCACCCATTGCATGAAGTAGTGAAATAAATTTCCTCCCATAGAATGCGCCACAATCGCTGCCTTTTCGTGGTTCATCTTGACCAGGGTTTCGATCTGCTGCATCAGCTTGGTGAAGTACCAATCTCTCCGCTCCATGTCTTCGAAGGACAAGCGCCAATCATAGGAAGCCATGTACATTGAATTTTGGTCATATCCAACATCTGCAAGAGATTCAATCATTAGACCCCACAGCCAGTATCCGCCAATGAAGAAGTCAGCACTCTCAAAACCCTGAGATGGGCGAACACGGATCGTGCGGTTAAAGTGCGGCTGCTGCATTGGATCGAGGCCCGTAGTTGTGTTGAGAGACATGTGCCGAACCCAGCAGTCTGGATCACGGACCATGGCTTGCAGCATGCTCGTGGTGCCCCAAATCCTCTGCCTGAAATAATTCTTGATGCACTCCTCTCCATCCCAAAGTTCCAAGCCAGTCGTGATGATGCCAGGAACCATTACCACGGGATGCTTTGCAACTTTGCCTTCGCGGGCCATTCGGATGCCAACACGCTCACTCTTGCCCAAGACTTGGCTGATGGCAGGGACCTGTCCGACTGAAACACAGGCTAGTCTCCCGGTGCCACTTCACACTACTTGTGCGGATTGTCGGCCAGAAGATGGTGCACCCTGTTTAGTTATGGATTCCAGCTGTTGGAAATTATACTTCAGTATTCTGCCATCTTAGACCCCAAAACCATGAAAAAGCATCACGACGGCTATGACGTCCACGACCACAAGGACCGTTTGCACCACCACGACGACCACTACTACACTACGACGAGGAGGACGACCACGAGGAGACCACCAGGAGACGGAGCATGGCAAATATGCTTCCCCCTATATACCGAGATTCGGCAGGAAAACCTTTCCCCAAGCAGTTAGCCAAGTGGTTACTGCTGCAATTCAAAGTTTTCGAAACCAAGGAAGTCACGATAAGTCCGACACCACGCCACAGCGGAAGCCGCGCGTCGGGAAACGCTTTTCCACGCACACAGGGGGCCGGCGACACATGAATTACCAGTTGTCTTTGCTCTTAACGATAGGGCCCCGTACGAGTAGTCTGCACCAAACTGTTTAGGGAACCGAAATCTCGGAGTGTGAAAATCGCCAGCGCAAGCACCGACCGACTGACCGTTGGCCACCGGTTGTTGAGAGAGAGGTGGCCCGGTGGCCCGGTGGCCCGGCCTGCCAGTCAGGAAGAAGGTCCTTGACTCCCAAGGACGTCCGATTTTTGACGATGTCGGTGAAGCCTTTGCAAGACGCCACGGCAAGCATCAGCACGTCTGTGGCTCTGATATGCTGATGCAGCTGCCCAATGTTGCATTTGAGAGTGCTTGAAGATCCAATACTTCCTTCCACAAGTCACAAGTTCATAGCATGCCGGAGGCTTTGTGATTGCCGGCATGGTTCTGTGATGTGCAGTCCTTCATCCGCGATGTTGTGCGGAGCAGGCTGTCAACTGTGTCCTCGAAAGGTGTGTAGGGTTGACTGCCGGATCGAACGCACATTGCCATGAGATGAAACACTGTAGATTACTTGACTGCTGCAAGGGTGAAGATAACGAACTTCGACAAAAACGGCATAGGAGACGCACCAAGCTGCTGATGACATCATCTCCTTAGCATTGCAGAGTGCTTGCAGACGAACGCATCAATAGAGTGAATGCGCACCAAACTAATCGCAGTGCGAGGGAGCTTCATCAAAGGCCTTGAAGAAACTGTTGCTAGCGACTCTTGCTCGCTCTCGCAGGGGATCTGGCAACTGCTCCGGCCTTGTCTGGACAAGCTGCGGTCTCTCGAACTGCAGGGACCCGGCGATTGTCTGAGATGAGAACCTCAAATAACCGTAGTAGGACAACGAGCACCCGAAGCCAAGAGCGAAGATGGCGGGGTAAGACAGCGAGATTGATAGAAGTGGCCTCTCCCCCGCACTGTGCATTGAACATGTCCGTGCTGATCACCTCGCGCCTCCGCAGATAGGCCGAAACGACGAGGTTGGACAGGAAGCCTCCTGAGACTCCGTTCAAATGACCCAAGTCATGCATGGGCCATCCAACATGTGCCCACTTGACCCAAGCTTCGCATATGGGAAATAGGCTCAACATGGTGTCCAGTGCATGCCTACCTTACTGCTGGCACAGTCGATCGCAATACCTGCCCCGTTGTCTATAAGGGATGGCTTACAACATCGAAGTTAACACCGCCGGACACACCGATGAAGATTCTCAGGCTAACAGCTTAGCACGGCTAGGTACCGGTAAGTCAACCCTGTGGACCTTTTCCAATGGGGACTTGGGCCGAGTAAGCGTCGCGTAAAGACAAAGCTAAGGACCATAGGAATAGCAATGGAGGCAGGGTAAAATCTACACCCCCCTCGCCGTGCTGCTCAAGCTAAGGCGGATAGTACATGGCTCCAGGTTGCCCTGGGCTTCAACGTTTTGTGAAAGACTTGCCAAAGCGAGCATATATAAAGCACAACGGGGAAGCCCTGCAGGTCCGAAGCAAGATCAAAATGAGGACTCAGCGCCTATGGGTGCGATTCCATGCATCCCACTCGGCCTGAGTGTAACCTCCACGGCGCTGGCGATAGTACTCGTCCCACTGGGCCTGAGTATAGCCTCTGTACATTGGCTCAGGGTCCGCAGCACGACCACCACCGCGTCCCTTTTGGGATGGACGGTTCTGGGCTGCAGCCTGGCGATTGCGCTCTGCCAAACGTTCCGTTTGCTGAGTCTGATCTTGAGCGCTACGGAGGCTATCGGTGATGATTTGACCGATCTCAGTAGTGATGCCATCAGTTGTGGTCGCCGAGAGATAGACTTCCCCGTCAAAGGTCAGGATCCGCTTTGCAGCATCATTCACTGCAGCCACTTCGGCAAAGAGGCGAGGAGGGAGGAATGCACCCATGTAGGTCAAGCCGATTGGCACGTCCGCTGTATCATCGATGAATCGCAGACTTCGCAACGGCTCCACTTCGCAGTGGGCATAATAAACCAGCTTCGCAGGCGGGACACTGCCACCACCATAGTGCGAGCCGGCACGCAAGTACCTTTGCTCCTCGCTGCGGCCTGGGTCAGGCAACACAGCATTCGCCAAGTGGTCAAACTTTTGCATGTCCTCGATGCTGCGACCCTCCTGCATCATTCGCGTGCTGAACTGGTTGTCATTCTCGAAGCGATAGGACAACGACTCAAAGTTCAGCTTGAATGCTCTCTGCCTTCGATCCTTGGCGAAGACTCGCTTTGTGATCTTTGCGGAGTCGTCCGTCTGGGGAGCCTTGCAGCGCAGGCAGAATAGCATGCCATTGGCCACCACCGCCTGGCACTGCCTGCATGGATGTGAGCCAAGTGGATACGGCTAGTCTTCACCCGCATCCGTCGTGTCACCCTCCTCCTCCTTGGCCTCGGCCTCGGGCTCGGGGGCGAAACCATCAGCATCGGCAGGCTCACCCTCGCGGGTGGCTTCATCCAGGTCCATAGTGTCATCCTTTTCGGTAACAACTGTGGGCTTGGGAGCCACCTTCGGCATCTT